TACATATACTTACATATATATATATATACATATATATATATATATATATATATATATATATATATATATATATATATATATATATATATATATATATATATATATATATATATATATATATATATATATATATATATATATATATATATATATATATATATATATATATATATATATATATATATATATATATATATATATATATATACATATATATATATATATATATATATATATATATATATATATATATATATATATATATATATATATATATATATATATATATATATATATATATATATATAACATTTTTGGAATTTCTTCTTATATCGACCGTACTAAACTTATTTGAATTCAAAGGATATCGGGTAGCGGTCCGTGGTTAAAATGAAAGCTCCTTTTTTCTTTAACACTCAATATTTCGTCAATTTATTTGTTGACTTCTTCAGGAGTGAACTAAAATTTAATGAAAACAACAGGTCAAACTATATAACAGACAATTAAAACAATCGTGAGAAATACTTACAAAATTAGAGTCTACCACATAGTTCCTCAAAAACCATACTTTACAGTTAAGGTAAATGAACGAAGCGACATAATGAAACAAACGGATAAACACTTAGTATACAATTCTTAATAATGGTAGGCAAAAGTTGCGCTAACGGGGGTAGCGAAAAAAAACAAAAAAAAAAACACACAAAAAAAAACAATCAATCTAAATAATGACAAAAAAAGGGCATCAAAATAACCTACTCCGTGGATCAACAACGCAACGCGAATACGCTACTCGGTGGCCGAACATTACATTATCTGTGGTTTAACTGAAAAATGTATATATTGCTTATTTGTTGTGTATCAGACTTGTAATTAATTGAATCTTTGTTTTTGTTAATATGGCACATTTCAAGAAACACTCGGGCTTTATAATTATTGACACATTGCAAAATTTTTGGATTGCTGTAGTCAAATTCATGTCCTGTTTTTATGTAATGCTCAACCACTGCACAAGTATTCTTATGAATACGGCAATCACTTTTGTGCTGTGTTAAACGTTGTTTTAACCACTGTGAGGTCTGTCCAATATAACAGCCTTTTAACCACGGACCGCTACCCGATATCCTTTGAATTCAAATATATATATATATATATATATATATATATATATATATATATATATATATATATATATATATATATATATATATATATATATATATATATATATATATATATATATATTAGAGAGAATTAATATAATTAGATGAAAATCAATTTATCAAAATAAATAACAACTAAAAGTTCAGATTTTCACGAAATTATATATTTTTACATGATAATTGTTTCGACAACACCATGTCTTTATCAAATTAGTATATAAGTATATATGACTAAAATAACTTACTTTTCCAGAAATGCTGAAATGTATGAACTTAAATGGAACAGTCTAAAAGGAAGATTAATAGCATTTGATATAGTGTTTTATTAATTCATTTTGAAGTTCGCAGAGCATATAAGGCCTTTATTGAAAAGAATAAAATACAGTGTTGCTAATAAACGCAATAAGAATTTTTTTAAAAATATGCTGCATTTTTTAATTGCATAGTAATATTAATTTTTCAATAACGGTATAATGGCGTCCAACATAAGATGCTTCAGTATTAGTCATTTAAAGGAACTCATATTACTTAATTTAAAAGGATTACCACCTTTAAAAATTGCAAAAGAGGAGCAAAAATTTCATTAATTGTAAGTTCGAATCAAAATTTAAATCAGCTGCACTTTGCTTGTTGACAATATGTTACTGTGCCTTAAATTATTTTTAAAAACTGATGACCAATGGTTATTTTATGCCAGGCTTCTCTGTAACTACTAGTGTCTGCTCTAGTTTCACCTAGGAAAGAAATTATTATTATGACTTATTGGAAATAAAGCCCAAAAACTCCCGTCGACAAAAATTTCTCTTATGTTCAAGATGGAAAAATACTGATGAAAATTTTCGCATTCACAAATTATGTGTGGAATTTTTAAAACTATTTGCAAGAAAAATAATATAACAAAATAATATTTTTAAGAGGTCAGGAATGTGAAATTATTTGATAAATTTCTATCAGTCGGGTTAGATGTACATCAGAAATAAAACAGTTAAATAAGCAAAAAAAAATTGTCAAGTACCAACTAGAATGCCCAGAAAACAAGTAACCCGATGTACAACTGACAATTTCTACCTAAAAGACACTTTATCAAGCGTTTACCGCCTCTCCTATAGCTTAAAGGAGTGATGTGATCCCCACATACCTTCTAAAATTATCAGCCTCCTTGGAAGCTCCATTTTGAAAAAGGAATGGTTATCCATTGTTTCCTTACAATTTCGTCTTTTATTAAAATAAAAAATACAATGATGAATTGAATGACACTACCTGGAAATGTGATTATTACGTCAAAAATAAGTAACGACATATATGCAAGTCTACAAAAAAAATTGTACTTGCAATGTAACCCAAAAAGTTGTACTAAATTGTTATTTACACAAATTGGTACTTACAAGTCAAGGACATCAAGCCATCCAGGGTTAGGAAAATAGTTGGAGACGAATCAAGATCTCTTCTCCCCAAGGAGATGTGCAAAATCTGTAGTTTTTGAATAAACCTGTTTCTATTTAATCAATGTCAAATTGTGCTCCAGTATTCACTTATCTACCGGACCTATCCCAAATTTTGAATAGACGCCTAGAATTTCTGGTAATTCTCAAAAATTTCCAGCAGATATATCCATTAAATTCTTCAAGTTGCAGCTGAACTGATTTTGCTAATTCCACACTTTGTTGTGGTAATAAATTATGTAGTTTTTCACCCAATAGAAAGGCAATTTCGTTTTCGCTAAGCGTGATGACAAACGAAAATATTCCAGTGAATCTTTTAAAATTAACTTGTAGTTAAGGCAACTTACTCGTGTATAGGCACATTCTCTTCCTTACAGTTTTGACTACAAACACAAGTTTTCGAATGGGTGGGCATGTTTATCATAAAAAAACGAAAGAGGTACGGAGATATTGACACCAAAAATGAAAACAACAGTGGCACAGGACACAGACTGTTATGTGACAATACTTAGCTTGATGTTGCGTTCTTATAAAAATTAATCAATTTTCTAGAAAAATTACGGCAATGTCACAACTCGGTCAGTTGAGGGGTGACTCATGCGCAAAAGATTTCACACCTCCTCTGCAAAAATATAGCCACTTGCAGCGCATCACTTTGTACCCGGATCAACACCAGTACACAAACTTCCATCCGTGGAGAACTACACACAAACATTGTTTTTCATTATTTAAAAAAAAATTTTTTTTTAGAAGAAAGAAAATTTAAATAATACAAACAACACGAAATGTCTATAAATATAAAATCTACTAAAAAAACATGAAGCATAAATTAACATTGCTTGTACATTGTTTGAAGTTGCACTAGAAATATTGGTAATACATTTATCAATCTATTGAAAAACAGATTTTTTTATTGAATAAATGGAAAATTAAGTAGAGTGACAATGATTACTAACAAAATAGTGTGAAATAAAAATGCGCCCGGAAATATTTTTTTCGTATGGCACAACCAGTGCCTTTTTAGCCTTTCTGCGATTTCTTGATTGGAAAATTGCGATACCTCTTCATCTGCGTCAATCTATTTGCAAAATTTTTCAGTTGAAACTATCTTTGACTATCTTTGACTAGTAAGTTCTTGCACAGTCTTCCAAAATACATGTTCGAAAACTTTATGACTTGTTCAGTCACGCTCATCTCGCCAAAACAAACTCGTGACTAAAATGTTCTTTATAAAACTTGTTGCATAAAAAAATATCCAATTATGCACGGATATGCGTACAGTAATTTAGTCATGTGACTAAAATATGTGAGTTAAAATTGTCAATTCACCAATAAATGTTTAAAAACCAGACCAAACTGGTAACTGATATCAGTTATTTTTATTGATCAATTACCAAATGGCGAGAAAAACATTAAATTGCCGTATTCTGTGAAAACGCGAAGGCGAAGAAAAGGTAAAAAATAAATTATCTCTCTAATTAAAAAAATATAGCACTTTATTTACATTGATCTTGTTATAACTGTATTAGGTTAGCTTAGGTATCAAAAACCATTTGAAAACACAATCTTACTTTGATCGCGGTCTCAACAATGTGCCTTTGAATACCCGTTATAATGTGAAAGTAATTTTAAAACCCATAATTCAAAAGTTTTTTTTTAATTTTTTTTGTGCTATTAAGTCTTTTATCTCATTAAGCTGTTGTGATGTTGCTGTGGTTGTTATGGAAAATATTTAAATATCTGTTATATTTTAAATCATTTGAAGCAAAATACTTAGAAACAGAAATATATATATTTATTTGAATAGCGACTCCTCATATCTAAATCATTAGAATGAGATAGTTGACAATTTGCTTTAATTACGTACCTTAAAAAATTACAAAACAATTAGCTTATTAAGTTTAAATGTATTGGATGGTCCACGTTATTGGGGACAAACTCTTATAGTTGAGAGGAAACCATTTTATTTTAAATTGCTCTGATTCCTGGAGGGTGTTTAAAATTCGAAGAGAAAAAACATTAAAACGTTTTTTATAATTCTAACTGATAATTTTTGGGGCATTTTCAATATTAATTTTTACTTTAATAAAAAATATTCACGTAAATGACGAGTCGTAAAAAAAGATTCAAATTATATTTAGATGAACCAATGTCGTATTTTATTTTCAAGAATATTCAGTCGAAACGCTTAACAGTTTTTTTTTAATTTAAGGCTGCATTAAAATGGTGTGAAAGAACCACACAAATTTTTGGCCACCCTGTATAGTTAATTCAAGCGACAGTCCGATATCTCTGCCTATCGTTAGTCGTCAACCTTGAATCTTTCAATCTAAAACTCGGCGAAATTAAAAGTTTGAAACGCCAGTTCATCCGACATTTGCAACGATAAACGGTGAGAGAACAGTAATATCAATAATTTAACAATCTAATTCAAAATGAATTTAAAATCCTGTTCATTGTCACGCAGTTATAATATCAGAACAATCGCATAATAAAAAGGTTCAAATGTTGCAACAACTATCTCATTTTATAAATACGGTAAGCAACAATTTCTCGGGCAAGCAATCAGAAATAAACGGGTTAAAAGAATAACGTAGAGTGTTTTCAGGTACGCTTGTACTTACTCGACAACACTTAAATAAAATAAACTATGTACCTTCATAATTGTAAGTTGTTATCTAAAAGCTGTGTGTTTGATATACAATTGTAAAAGAGGAAAGTAACTTAAAATTTCGTTTAGCTAGTGTGTACAAGAGATTATAAACCTTTTTGTCGAAAGGTATAAGTTAACTATTTTATAAAACTTGTTTGTGGTGAAAGTATTTTTCATTTGATTTTATTTATTTCGGTTTATTTGGTTGCCTTTCTAACATAGGGTAATTCATAATCAAATCTCACAACTGGCATCTCGGAAATTATTATCATTTAATCGGGGGCAAAGTTCCTAAAGTATTTTTCAGAAAGATGTAGAGAAATTACTACAGTGTGGCCCAATGAATACTTAAGCCACCTTCATTGTTTGACATTGATTTCATTGGAAAATTCTATCTATTTATCGAGAGCAGTTAGTATCACTCGAGTTTGAGCCAATTTATGTGTTTTTCCAATACTATAAATGATGTGCCAAAGGCGTTCCGGTAGCATTATTATAAGCAACCGACAATTCATGCATTCGCAATTTCCGATGCGAGCCGATTGACATAGTATTAAGAAACCGAAAAGTCGGATTCCCTCCTCGGTTACATTGTTCTTTAGTCGAATGGTCACGTAGCAGAGATCACATAGCAGGAATAACCAAAACTAACCAAATGCCTATATGTACCCGACAAATAAACCTGACTCTTCGGTTACTTAATATCTCTTAAAAGAAATTTTATTCTTACACAATAGAAATTATGACATTATAAAAATAGTATGTAGATACATAGTAATGTAAGTATGTAGGTATATAACCCATATAAGTTCTCTCTCTCTCTCTCTCTTCGTTTCCCATATGAAAGATTATTAGTCCCTTCCCTTTTCTAAATCTATGTGTCATCAAGATAAAAAATTTTCATCTGCTCTGTTCGCCAGCACACAATTTCATCGCTTTCCATCAAAAATGCTTTACGGTTATGGTTTTCCCAACAACTAAACTAGTTTCCCATTTTGTATGTAATATCGGGATGAATTAAGTGAACCTGACACCATCACTTGACGCCACACACTACATGCGTTTGGAGTTTATATATATTAAAACACTTTTTTAGATCGAAACAGAATCAATGGCTCTTTTACTTTATATTATCGTGACCCTGGTGGCCCTCATGATATTTTACCTAAAAAGACAGCAAACCTATTGGACCCGCAAGGGGGTACAACAAATCAATCCGCAGTTCCTGTTCGGAAACTTCAAAGACTTCGCAGTAAGAAAACAATCGTTCGGCGACCTTTTCCTTAAGTTATACAAAGAACTGAAAAAGCGCGACGTCAAACACGGCGGCGTGTACGTCTTTACGCGACCTACCTACGTGCCTCTCGACTTGGATATAATCAAAGCCATTATGGTGAAAGATTTCGACATTTTCATGAACCACGGCACTTATTTCAATGAGAAACAGGACCCCCTAACGATGCACTTATTCAATCTTGAGGGATCCAAATGGAAATCACTTAGAGCGAAATTATCACCAACGTTCACATCGGGCAAAATGAAGATGATGTATCAAACATTTGTTAAGTGTGCGACGGAACTAAACGATATGTTGAGTGAATACTGCGAGAAGCTCGAGCCCGTAGAAATTAAAGAAGTCTTGGCCAGGTTTACAACTGACATAATAGGTAGTTGTGCATTCGGCCTTGAATGTAATTGCATGAAACAACCCAATTCTGAGTTCCGAAAATATGGCAAGCGAATATTTCACAGAACGCACAAAGAAAATCTGTACCAAATTTTATCTATTGTAGTGCCCAAAAGTGTACTGAGTATATTAGGCATTAAAATTACGCCGCCAGAAGTAGAAAACTTCTTCATCAAGATCGTTAGGGAAACCGTGGAATATAGGGAGACGAACAAAGTAGCGAGGCCTGATTTTCTTCAACTGTTGCTGCAGCTAAGGCAGCAAGGATACGTTTCCAACGACGACAACATTGAGATTCAGAAGGAAACGGACCAAACGCATCTGAGCATGCCAGATCTGGCAGCTCAGTGCTTCGTGTTTTTCGCAGCGGGCTACGAAACTTCTTCCACGACCATGACGTTCGCTTTATACGAGCTGGCACAGAACCAGCAAATTCAAGAAAAGCTCAGAGAAGAAATAGGCGAAGTTCTCAGAAAGCACAAAAATAAGATGACTTACGAAGCGGTGATGGACATGCATTATTTAGATAGAGTAATACAAGGTAATACGTATTATTATATACCATTTGTTATTTTAATTGGCGCCTATTCGATATTATGATATTCATTATTTTTTAAATGAGTTTCTTGGACTGCAAATGATCTATATTTGCTCTGTTATGCTCTACTATTCTCTGTTTCTAAATCGGAGAGAGTTTATAAATCATTATTGAGTTGTAAGGCTTGATTGCTTGCAGTTGGTAGACGTCTTCAACCTCTTGGCCAAGGCAAAATCTATTTGAAAGTCTAACTATTTCGGATATTGAGAAAATCCCAACTATTATTTAGTTGGGATTTTAGGCACTTATAGCATAATGAAAAACTTTTGTTTAGCTGTTAAAAGAGAAAAACAGAACGGTATATTTCAGAGCAACACTATGGTTGCTTGCTGTCGGACTTCTAATCAGTCTTAACCGATAGGGCAATAGTAAATCTATTTGAAAGTAATCTACAAAAAGTACTTATAATAGACAGGCATCACTTTTTTGGATTTTATGCACTCAATTTGTATAATGGAGAAGAAAATCCCCTCATTGGCTAGCTGCCAATTAAAAAAGGTGTATTTTTCAGTAGTTTCGCTATTGTATTGACGATCGTAACTAAAATTATGCAGACATTATTTAGTTGTGGTTTTAGGCACTCAATTGGCATAATGAAAAACTTTTGTTTATCTGTTAAAAAAGAAAAGACAGAACGGTATATTTTATAGTATAATATTATATATAATTTATATAGCGGAAAACAATTTCCCTCTCTGGTTAGCTGCCAATTAAAAAAAGTATATTTTTCAGTAGTTTTGTTATTGTATTGACGATTGTGTCGAAAAGTAGAATTATAGTTGTTTTCCGGCAGTTAGTTAGTTTTTGAAAATGGCTAGTGTGTCTGAAATTGTTGGATGAAAGGACCATTCATTTGCTTACTTTAAATAAGAAGCAATTTCAGAACGATATGCTGAAAAAGGAGCTAGTGGACATTGTAAATTTGGATAAACCTCTTTGTAAGAAATTTGTTTTTGACGAAATTGCTTGAAAACAAAATATATATAACGGTATTTTGCCTTCCGCCATATCACTGTTAATTGGTATAGGAGCAAGTTAAAGGATTCATAACAAGAAATAACACCACTTTTAAAATGAGGGACGTTAAAACCTTCCTGCGAGAGGAAATAAAGACAGTGGATTATGAAAAATGAACTAAGCGCGTCGAACATGCGATTGAGATAGAAGAAAGAATGTGGAAAGTTGTTACCAAGCTATAAAACACTGTAGTGCCCGTTACTGTTTCGCTGGAGTCCAACCAAAATAGTTCATCTGACTACGAGAAACATAATGACTAAAATTTATAAATGAAGTAATAGTAGTTAACTTTTAAGTAATAATATTTATTACAACTCATCTAGTTTCATATTATTCTCAATTCCATGTAAGGTTTTATTTATTTGATATTAGAATAATTAATAACTCAATTATCTGGCAAACGCCGCCGTCATATTGCTTTCAGTCGCCAAACTCGTCTTTCTATTGTATGAAAATTAGTGTGACCCTAATTTAAGAAGGATTCGAGGTGTGTCAATCTTGAAAACTGAAATACGGAAAATTATGAATGCAATTTTTCTGAACTTTACGATATAAGTTTCAAGTTGTCCAATCTGTTTAATGATCCCTGTCATTGCAAATTTACATTTTATTGCTCTCTCGCATTAAGAAATAAAATTTACGATTGCAAGTTTTAACAAGTTTTAACAAAATTTTTAGAGGCGTTAAGAAAATATCCTCCGGTTCCGGGAACGATACGAAAATGTCTTCAAGATTATAAGGTACCAGGAACGCACACAATCATTGACAAGGGAACCAACGTGCACATACCTATATTTGGAATTCACATGGACCCAGACTACTATCCGAATCCGACTAATTTCGATCCGGATCGGTTTACGGAAGAAAATAAAAGTGCTAGGCCCGCGTTTACCTGGTTGCCATTTGGAGAAGGACCTAGGATATGTATTGGTAAACGTGGTATATTTACCATAGAGAAACATAAATTAAGGTATAACTTTCAGGTTTAAGATTTGGATTGCTGCAAAGTAAAGTCGGGATAGCAACCGTTATAAAGAACTTCAAACTATCGGTTAATGAAAAGACTGTCACTCCGCTAGTTATGGACCCCGATTCGTTTATTAGTTCAGCCAAGGGGAGTGTGTGGTTAAATATGACTAAAGTTTGATAGCGCAATAATGTATCGCTATTTTCTTACTTACTACACGCAACTAATTCAATTTGTATCGATTTTGTATTAAAGTTATATCGAAGTTCGCCTTTCTTCACTATTATTCTTCTTCTTCAAGTGTCGTGACCGATTCCATCGTTGGTCATGACATCGAAGATCTGATTGTGAGTGGGTACGAACTAGCTGGTAGAAATTAGAGAGGTGACAGATTTGCTGAAGGCTATATGCTACACGCCTGGTCCTGGGAAACTCAAATAACGAGTCAAAAAAGTAACAAAAAGAACAAATTGAATAAGAATGGATCGAGAAAAATTGGACAATATAATATGCCAACAAACAGGTCGAACCCAATTGGAAAAAAGAATGAAAGATGTGTCGGAGAAAGAACCGGAAAAATTATGGACGTCCAAAGGGGACACTTAATGTCGCGAGATAGATCATCGAAGAAATATTTACGCCCCTAAATGTGGCCGAGTACCAAAATTTGCTTAAAACAATAAAACAAAAGATCCGATAGGCTAAAACGGAATGGTATAAAAAAGAGTGCAGGGAATTTAAATATTGCGAAATAAAATACGATATGTTCAACCTATATAAAAAGCTGTGTAACAAACAATCAACCACCAAATTTTCTTAAAGGATAGACAGGAAGAGAGGATTTTGGACAATTTGAAAGATTGCAAGACTATATAATGTAATATAAACTAAACCGACAGGAACTATTTGCCGATTACGGTTGTTGAAAGCAAACCTCTGGTGGCTCGCTAAGTGAGAAAACCTATCCCATTAGATGAAAACAATAAAACTGTAGGATCAGACCACATTTACAGAAAAATGGTGGATGAGGGATAGCATTAAAAGGTTTAACAAACTGTGCAACTTAGTATACAATACGAGAAAAATACCCACCCAAAAATACCGGACTGTTTAAAAACAACTAAAAACAATACGAAAAAATGCAGCGATTACCGTATAATAAGCTTGATAAGCCATACTCTACTAGTAATTTTACGAATAATCGATGAAAAACTTCACAGAAACCTTGACAGTAAAACTAAGAACAGTCAATTTGAGTTCAGAAATAGTTTTTAAAAATTTAGTTTTGTTTAGCACACTGGTACGAATATTAAAATGTCGAGATGTAAACCGTTTACATGTGTGCTATAGATTTTGAAATGACCTTCGATACAGTCAGACATGACAAAATACGCTAGATATTACAGCACACAGCGTCTGATGACAAGGACATTAGAATTACATCAAAACTATAATGGCAACAGGAAGCAAGTATACATTTAGTAAATCAGACCTGAAGATCAAGCAAGGAGTTAGACAGAGCTGCATCCTATCTCCGTTAATATTTAATAGAGAACAGATTTGTAACGAACGGCACGCAAACGGTATATTTTATTCTCGCAAGCTCGGAGACACAACCACAGTCTCTAATGAATAGAAGGACAAGCTACTGCCAAAAGTAGGACACAAGCACTGAACGCAAACAAGACTAAATATATGTTTGTGAAAAGAAGCGGTATTATGCATCATAATGCAATTTATGTCAACGGTACTAATCTCGAACCTGTAAGTAAGCTGACATACTTGCGCAATGGTATCAATGAAACCGAAGCACGAAATACATCTATAAAAAATACAGCAAGCCTTGTGTACGCATAACATCAAGCTGAGAATAAGAATTCTCAAATGTTACGTTTTTGCCATTTTTATGGACAAAGTAATTTACAAGCTCATTTTGATAGTTGAAAGAATAAATATTTAATTTTTTTAGATTACAATATTATTAAAGATTACAAATTGCAGTTACACCTAATACATCATTAATAAGGTAATTAAAGGAGTAGTTAAATAAGAACAAACGTTGTTCACATTTTCACATAACATCGTGCCTTTATCAAATGCATTTGATAAAGGCACGGTGTTGCCGAAACAGCTGTCATTTAAATATATTTATGTGAAAATCTGAATGTTTGTTCTTATTTAACTATTTTAAATGGATTTTCATCAAGTAAAAGCCACTTCAGTACAAATGTAAATAAAGGAGACTATTCGAAGCTCGGAAAATTTAACACGGCGTCCAAATTATAGTTGATGGTATTAGAGAAACGTTACGTCGAAAGGGATTTTTGACTGTCATAAGAGGCGAAGCTGTCAAAATTAAAACGGGTAAATTTGTAAAAAATAAAACGAAAGCAATCATACATTTTGTTTTTTTTTTTTCATGAAATTTCCTAAGGTACATAAGATAAATCAATTCACCGATACGTGGCTTTGCCCTAATTTGAGTTACCCTAGATCTTTTACAGTTTCCTTGACCCAATGCTTTAATGAATACTTTTTTTGTTTCAAAGAGTTTCAAACTGAGTTTGAAAAGTTTGATTTATAAACAACCGACGCAGGATGAATCCAGATGATTTGTAAATAGTATTACTGTAGCCTGTGGAAGTTTCGTAGATTAAGAAGAAGAAAAGAAGAAATAAAGAAAAAAAGCAATGAAAAAACAGGTTCCTATAATAATTTTGTCTTAACAGTGTGTTTAATAGTCATTGCATGGGAAAAGCGAGAAATTTCCATTTTTCGGAGAAAATTTTGGTGTTGCCCGAATCACTAGGTCAACACCTGGGAACAAATTTGCCATTTCTTCAATAAATTGGGTTGCTATGAAAGTATGACATTGTTAGGAAAAAAAATAATAAAAAATTGAATTTATTTTAAAAAAGATAGCGTCCGAACTGCAACAAGTAATAAATTATAAAAAAAATGATCAGAACCAAAGAGGTACGGACGGGAGTTTATGAAATCATGCAGTAATTCAGACTAGATGGCGTCAAAGGGATAAAATTGTTTTTTCTAAGAACAATCTTTAGATGCCATTACTGTCAAGGGCATTGGCTAATTATTGGTATTAGAGACTTATGCAATATTTTCAGCTAAGGAAATATTAGGAAATTTAATAAATTTTCATCAATCATAATATTTTGTGTATATTTCCTTGTAATGCGTCACACTACAAAAGAACATTCAAATGAAGCAGTCTGCGGGCATGAGTAGTGGCACCTATCCGTCAATACAAAAACTTTCGCTTGTCAATTTTTTATTTAGTCCACATTTTAAAATTTTTTCTACCTCCACTTAAATTGGAACTGAAACTCCGATACACATTGCTTAAACACATCAGCGCTACTTTAACTCGTAAGTATAAGGTATGAATCACGTTATAAAAATACTAAACCTAAAATCCCTAAATGAAATGTTACCTTAAAACAATAAACGTCATATTAAAGTTTCCGACAAACCTCTCAAACAACCCCAGCACCGCAACGCATTAATAACGCCGTTCAAGTCATTGTGCCAGAGTTCCATTTCCTCCAGAGTATCTGGGAAAAGAAAGTATTTCTCCACTTTGTTAGCGTTTTTGATAGACAAGATCAGACTCTTAGCTTTAGGGCAAGTAATCCTATCGGCCGGAAAAATCTCGCTCGTAAAAATCTCATTGGTGGTACAATTTTCCAATTCGATAATCTCTATTGGTTCGGATTGTTCACGGCTCTGTTCCCTCCAGTACTTCAGCTGCCTGCCCTCTAGCAAACACCAGCTGAGATTCCACACAAGGCACGAGTTTTGTTCTATAAAATTTATAGTTAAATGCCTGAAAGGACAACTGTTGGGCAACTCACCTACTCCGACGGTCAAAAATCCGTTTCGCCGATGGTTCAACTTCACGCCGCTTGCAATTTCAGATGTAAAGGTAGCGTGAAGATTGGATTCCTTTGGTATATTTTCCAATGTAAAGTGGGTTTTTCCAAAGTCGGAAATTTTCATCGTACCGCTGCCGTTAAATGCAAATGAACTGGCAACAGACAAATTGGCAGCCTCTTCTTCTTCAGTCGGTTCGGAATGATTAAATGTGTGCTTTGAGGTAACTCGCAATGCTTTGCTGATCTAAAATAATTAGAAACCTAGAATGGAATGGAGGTTTGGCTGATTAACCGTTGGACAAATTATAATCTATAAGATTTTCAATCAATGTTGAACAGTATAACATTTTAAGGCAGAGAAAAGTAGTTGACGCAACCTCGCCTTTGGTTACACGGCTATTCTATTAACTTTTCTCAGCAACATTTCCGTTGCCCTTCTGGTATTCCGTATCCAGTTCACATAGAGCCAGTTCGTCAGAGCAATGTGTCACACTCAACGAAAGTGAAAGACGTAAAAATAGCGGACAATAAAGTTCTTTTAACCGGGGGATTTGCAAAGACAGAACAAACCCCTGGGTTAGAATATTTTAGAGTATAGATGTAGAAAATAATAGTTAAACTTATATTGACATTTCATATCTCTGAAATTACTGCTCCTAGACAAAAACTAATGCCATATTTAAATTCGTTACTTCAAATGTTTCATGCTATGTTGCACCAATGACCAATCAAATGAACTGTTCACAGAGGATACTTAAGATTATAAAAAATAAAGTGTAAAACTTGCATGAAACTGCATTTTTTTTTAATCTACTGTAATACTATTTACAAATCTTCGGAATTCCTCCTGCATCGGTTATTGATGAATCGACCTTGATGACGTTTCACCCATCGCTTTTTCATTTCGCCTACAGAAAACCTACGCATACATATCTTTATACATTTTCACATCATCATCCGACACATAAGTCACGTTACATCTGTTCTTCTCTCAAATAATGGTCATATTAGAAATATTAAGCGTTCCATTACATTTCACCACAACCTTCCAAAGAAAATGAGTCTGGCAGCAGCCGTATACTTTCGTCCTTCCTTGCATTCAAAGCATTACTGACCACATATCAAAAGTTCTTAAGTTAAAACCGATTTACCATTTGTCCAAAAATCTCTTCGATTCATAAAAGACAATATTCAGTTTAAGATACAAGGAGCTTATAGCATATGCGGCAAAGAATGCATTGCATTGCCTTGATTCGATTCTCTATACGGGGATCTCCGCTCCTATTATACCTACAGAAAGGGATAAATATATAAGTAATATAATGTGAGCAGGCCATGTTTGTCTCCTTTTTTCCATCTAGGAAGAACTCTGACTGACATTAAATAATTTCAAATGTAACACTATTCAACTTAGGAACTTCTTAAGCGGGCAGTTTTACAAAAGAATTATTTCATTAAATGGTCCGATATCTTGGCTTCATAGATCCCCTGACCTTTCGAGCTGATATTTCTTCCTCTAGGGTCACACAAAAAATGGTGTGTATATAATTCTCACGAGATTATGGAAACCAAGAGACAAAGAGGTTTGGACACATTTAGAAACATTAACGAAAATACAGTTTCTAAAGAAGTACGAGAAACGGTCACCAATTGCCAAAAATGTCTTGATACAAATAGACGTTATCTTGCAAATCTGTGTAATTGTGTAATTAATTAATTGTGTAATGTTAAATAAATCATGACCTGCTTATAAAATAATACTTAAAAAATAATTACGAAGTGTAATAAAATTTGTTGTGCACTTGTGAGATATCACTGAACCTGAAATTTTACGCTCTTCATAAAAATCGACAAATCCAATATGGCGCCCATAAGAAAAATGAAGGTTAAGGTAGGTTGCGAGATAACAAAAAACGAATGAGACTTTTCATACACGCTATCTTACTCGTCTTAAGTGTCTGAACAATGTCACATTTTGACAGTCGTCAATTTAACCGTTTTGGATTTACTGGCGGAAAACGAAATCCGCCATTTTCGGTTTTTCGCGGATATTTCCTAAACCAATTGACCGATGGTAAATATGAAGTCGGTTATTCAAGTTACTAAGTTTCCTCTACAACTTTCTGCATTATAGGAGCGGAGATCCCTGTATAGAGAAACGAATCTGGGACATATTATATAAGAAGTAGAATTCATACAAGAGCCTTAAAATTACCACGTATAGACTCATCAGCAATTGCTGGCAGTAATCACGAAACTGAAGATCAAAGCTTATTCGACCCAATTAAAATTCTTGAATCGTAATCAACTTTTTTACCAAAAAAAAAATCCGAATCCCTAGAAATCTCTAAACAATCTTAGTCGAGACTCAGGTCTTTACCGTTCACCAATATGGAAATCAAGAGGGGTGCTATTTTTAAATTAGCCTCCTCGTGGCCAACTTTATAACGTCATGGATAGTCTACACATTGGCTGCTGAATCTCTTTGAAGATTATCCAGCAACAAAGAGTATGATATGAAAACTCAACGTAAGAATTACTGTTCCTCTAGGGACCAATCGATTGGGGACTGTGACAACATCCTAAGGATTTTACAAATCGATGTGGAATGAATAAATAGCATGCGGACATTCTACTGCTACTGTGATAGCGATGATTAGCTTTCAGATGTAAACTGCCAGGATTTACTCTTCCGGCAGCAACATATCATGAGCACTATGGCACAGCCACGGAAGTAGCATCCTGAGAGAAAAAGAAACTGAAGTTATTAATATATACAAATTACCTACACAACCTTGGATCAGTGAGAACTCTGTTTTGAACATACTTTACCCAGCCGCAACACTGCATAGGTATACAACGACACAGACGCTAAAGGCGATAGGGTGATGGACTGACCCAAGAGAGAGAATTTATTCCTTTTGTAAAACCGATTGTAAAAAGTTCTCACTAAAACTGGGCCAAAACAATTTCACAGAGCTATGTGGATCTCGTCGGCCTAGCCTAGCCTAGCTAAAAACCAAATTACGACGGGCTATAGAAGAGATTAATTATATCCCAGGATCGAACCCTAGATGTTGCGAACTCGTTGAAAACTACAATAATATTCTAGAGCCAGAAGTTTGCAGACGAGTTACTGGAATGCTTGGACACCGCCAGAAGGGACAAACGGCATACCTTAGTGGAGAACATGAATTTCCAACACTCTAACAGAAGAGTTTCTACCTAATTGGGCAATACGCCCAAACGCATCACCAACAGAATAATTGAGCTAACTAAGAAACCCGCTAAAACCAATAAAAAACTGACAAGAAATATTAAAAATTAACTTAATCCAAACAAGCCTACTCTAAGTGAGAATACTGAATTCTGAACTGAACTGAACTGTTACCCATCGATCGCTCATACGATTCTTTAATGATTTGTTGGAATCGGGAAAACTCCTTATAGTATTCAACAAAACCAAAATAGTGGGCACACTAAAACCCGGCAAATCAGGACCCACTGCACTCCTGAATATTGTGCTATAAGGTAATCGAAGGACTCATCCTTAACCGTAGTTCAGATATAACCGACCAAATACGTACCAATTGAACGTAGAATCGATTTTTGACAAAATAAAAGCTGTTACGACCAAGATAATGCAAAAATCACAACTGTCTTGAAATAACCTCGGTCTTCGAAGGTTTGAAATGATGTCGAAGTTTGTTAAAATATTCCCATGCATAAAACTGACACACATACTCGCCAATAGAAGCAGAAGAGTTTCTACCTAATTGGGCAATATGCCGAAACGCATCACCAACAGAATAATTGAGGTAACTAAGAAACCCGCTAAAACCAATAAAGAACTGACAATAAATATTAAAAATTAACTTAATCCAGACAAACCTACTCTAAGTGAGAATACTGAATTCTGAACTGAACTGAACTACTACCCATCGATGGTTCATACGATTCTTTAATGATTTGTTACAATCGGGAAAAATCCATATAGCATTCAACAAAACCAAAATAGTGGGCACACTAAAATCCGGAAAATCAGGAAAACTAGCTGCGGACTCTAGACCCACTGCACTCCTGAACATTGTGCTATAACGTAGTCGAAGGACTCATCCTTAACCGTAGTTCAGATATAAGCTAATGCAAAAATCACAACTGTCTTGAAATAATCTCAGTCTATAACAAGGTTGAAGAGTTGAAATGATGTCGAAATTTGTTAAAATATTCCCATGCATAAAACTGACGCACATACTCGCCAATAATATCGCGACTCACTAGAATGGTAAAACTAGTCACAGCTATTGGATCAACGACGGCCTCTCGCAGGGCTTCGTGCACCTGTCACGGTCTCTAAAAAATTTATATAAGCCGACGACATAGCCCTTTTTTTGGCAAACGTCTGATATCACCACAGGCGGAAACATCCTATTAACGAATTCAGAAGATTTGTAAATTGTAAAATCTTTAATACCATTTTTGGTCATTTGTATTAAGCACTTTAAATGGGATTCAACAAAGCCCGATTACCTTTAGATACTCATTTTTAGCACACATGTTCTATTACATTATTACAAAAATCAAGTTTATATTTCAGCAAACAGCAAATTGTACTAACCAATCTCCCTGGCTTGGTCAACTTGTGCCTTTTAGTCTTGAGAAGCATACTGTAGACCGCAATTGTAATTTCGAAATCTCGAGGCAACTCCTCGAATCTAAACTTTCCACCGACAACAATTTCCCCGTCTCCGTTGGCAACCAAAGGTTGACTAGAAAGAACGTTTTGTCCGCAGCTGATGACCATCACAAAGTATTCAGTCATTTTTTCCGCGTTAACGTTGACGTCCGCATAAAAGTGAATTTTGGATATTTCCACAGTTCCAGGATTAGATTCGTTATAAAATTCATGATCGAATTCCAGGTTACCCAAAGTTGTAGAAATTGCCTCCCTGGATAGTACTGGAATTTTTAGATTAAACGTTAACTTATTAATTAATCTTAACTTATTGATTAATTAATAATTTAATCGGATTGTATATTAAGTAGCAAAAAATATAATATCCCTAAAAATAAAATAAATCATAATATAAAAAAATTAAATTTTAATTGGTATTATTAATGAATCTTTTTTTATCAACAACAACATTTATTTATTCATTTTATAATAAGCATTAAACATAGAGCACAAGGAGTATAGATATATAAGATGATTCAAAACATACGCGAAAAAATTAAGGGCTTGTTTAAGGGTAGTTTGTTTAATAAAAATAATGTTTTATTTTTTAATTTAAAAACGGAAATAGATAGAACATTAAAATATTAAGGAAGTATAACTATTATAAAGACATACGATCTATCGAGCAAATATATTTTCAGCTTTGCTACTTCTTCTCCATCAAGCTCTGATTATTTTTGCGTGGTGTAATTTAAAAACAAACGTGTACAAAGCAGTCAACAAGAACTGCGCCAAGTAATCAGTTGCATTCAAGAGCTAAAGAGAAGTGAGGTAGGTCACCATTGTTTCCAAGAAAATAAGTTTTTTTTTAATGTTTAAAGGAAGAAGAAGAAAACGATTGGTCATAATTTGGAAAATGTATTGTAAATATGTTATTATTTATTACCCGCATCTTGCAATATTTTCTAAATATTGTTTTGTCGTGTTTGTTTTTTAGCTTGTCTAGTAAACTTAGTTTTGGGTCACAGTTAATTAAATTATTTTGTTTAAAACATGAATTCCTGTAGAGTTATTGTTGAGGTTTATGGTTTGCCTTTGATTTGTGTTAGCGAGTTGTCTATATGGATATATGGAACTCTTATTGTACATACTGTACATATTGTACACACATAAAACATGAATTCTAGCATATTTGTTGCCCACTTTTATAGGTCTGACGATGCCATAGTAGCCTTCTTTTTAAATTAAATTGATGTTTTGGCAAATGATATATAACTTTGTACTATAGAGTGAATTTGTCACCATTGCAGGATATCTTCATAAACTATTGTCAAAATTTCAACTCTCTTCGAATTAAATGAGTTTTAATTGGATAGATAATAATAATATAATATGAATAAATATTTCAAAATCATAAAAGTATGATCGAACTTCTGTTGACTTGAAACCAAAAAAATCAAGTAAGTCACAGATAAACAATGTTCGATGTTTTGAGAATAGCAACATTAGTAAAGAGTGATTCGGGATCTGGAAAATGACGCCTGGGACTAATTTGAATTTTCTTTGAAAAATTAGGTAGATTATTCTTTTGGACATATTTGAAAATCCAAATGAACCACTTGAAGTTTTTAATTAAACACATATACTCACAGGCCGACAAATGACATTTAATCAAAGCTTTTTTCCTTTGCATCCATTTTAAAAGATGCAGTTTTAGTGGAAATCAGTATACGAATATAACGTAAGCTGTTATGAACTTACTATTATCTGAATATAACTAATTCGTGTTATATTTCATGGGTGAATATCTATATAATTTAAAGTACTTGTTATAAGTATTTTTTATACGAGGCATAGAACAGTTTATGGAATAGCTATTGTGGGTTTTTACATACAACAAAAGACATTTCTCATAAACCTTCCCATACTGATACTACTATTCGAAATTCTTTTTGCCTATATTCACATATATTATCAACTTTTATCAGTACAATTTACAAATTAACCTCCATACCATTAAATTCTATAAATTTTACAAATGAATATTAATATTTGCCAAACAACATGGAGAAAATTATAAAGAGAAAACAATACCATAATTAGGTAAAAATGGTTTTGTAAAATCAACAGGGGTATATAAACTTTGTCGTTAGAAATATTTTGTTTTACAAATAATCTATTATGAATTTTTAGTTTCGTTTTTCCTAAATAATTTTTGAAAAAATGTCAATGCTTTGACAATTGGTACTTCTAGAATTTTAATATGAGAAATTCCAATTTCATCTTAGTTTAGCATTTTATGGGAGGAAGTACTACCTACAAGATATTTGAAGAATCACCCAGTAAAATATCACTTATGAAAACCCCGTTTAGCTAAAATTAATTTAATTGTTAAGTAGTCAAGTTTACAAGTTTTTAAAAGCAATGTTGTTCACTCGTATCACTTATTTATTTTCCCTGAATCCAGAAAAATTATAACAGCACCGGCTTTCTCATTTGTTATATGAACTTTTTATAAACAACATTTTATATTATTGAGAGATAGGGGAAATGAATTAGAGTTGAGTATTTATAAAATATTTTACTTATTTACTTATTAAATGATACTCACTTGCGACTAACAATATTCTTTCGGCTTCGAGGTACTCGTCTGAATTATTCGAACTTTTAATTTTCTTGCAGTACGACAAAGCTTTCGAAATCTGTGTGATAATTCCGTTTTGAACGGTCAGCGCTTTCGTCAGGTGTTGGACATCTTTTGTGCATTCTTTGATCTGAAAACCACTAAAAAATAACGTTTAAATAGATAAGCACAATGTATTTTACGAGAAATATTAGCATTAGGCATAGTTAGCAATTAGAATAATATTTCAAGGTGGCTTAATCTTTTTTTTAGTTTTAATGCAGTTCGTTTATAAATATATTATAGTACTAACAGGCACAATCTCTAAGATGTTTAAAAATCTAAAATGAAATATTTATTGATAAGTTTTATTAATTGAAAATACAATATTGTACCCGCGCCGATTGCCGAGAATATTAATATTCTACCTATAAAACAATTTGCTGGTTTCGGATGCTATAAGCGTGAAATTCAGAAGTTTCAAAATTCGTGTCTCCGGTTGATTTTTGGAATTCGGAATAATGGAAAGAATTTCTCATACACTTCAGACGGCTAGCTGGCTAAATATGAATAATATTTTGCAGTTCTGGATTGAAAAATAGACGCTTACTCCGCCAATCAATGCCACTGAAGTTTTTAAGTGAGACTTTTAATATAGTATTACTTCATGTTCTAAAAAAATGCAAAGATAGAAAACATCCTAAAGAACAATTCCACAACGATATATATTTTTGTGATTTGATAATAAAGACATTTCGAACTAAAAAGAACTATGCAAAGGAGGTGTCCAGGTGTCCCTAAATCTTATATTTAAAATTGGGACATCTATTCGGAAAACTTTTTTTTTCTACAGTGTAACTTTTAGTCGCTACGCCGTTATATTATAGATTAGGAAAAAGACAACGAAATACGGGTTTCACTAGGGTGTTTGACTCTAATTTGGCTATCTATGCAATGAAAGTGACATCGCAGCATTTATTTTTTTGGAGAAAATAATTTTTATTTATAGTGATATCGCAAACCGCCCTCTAGCGGTGGTACAAACAATCCAAATCAATCTTCTTAGGGCACGTCTGCCCTTCGTATTCAACCAATGCGAAGATCTAAGCTTATGACTCACGGGCTGCCGCCTTCTAATGTTAAATGTAATGTAAGGCAACAGTTGTGTATTCTTTGCACCCTCCGAACTATGGCGAAAATCAGGCATGAATTAACATCACAATAATTCAAAATGGATAAAACTAAATAGTCACAAAGAATTTGAATGAGATTGAAATTAAGAAAATCCCTAAATTATATAGTAATTAGCATTTGCATATTTTGTTTATCTAACTTCCTGCAAAACAACATTGCTACACTCTTTTTAGGATTTTTCTGGAGACAATGAGCTACTAAACTACTAAATAGATAATAAAAAAAAGCAGGCAAATTAATAAAAGCAAAATTGACGTAAAGGAAGAATAGAACTGAGCCTAGCAAGGGACCCTGAGGTACTCCACCTACTAACGTTAATAAAATTAGAAATTTCAAAAATATAATAAAATGCTCTGTGACCGAAAATCGAATCAGTAACGTTCAGTAGTGCTGTAGGTCATCTATATTCCTCCCTGACGCCATACTGTATATCAAGAAGAATTCTATTTACCTCCATATGTGAAAGAAATCGTTTCTTTATTACATACTCAACAGCTGCAGATGAAACCGAAAGAATACTGATTGAGCGTAAACGCTAAAATTTTGATGATTTTTGGGAAATACCATAGGAAAAACTGAATTCGGTATAAACAAAAATGCGAGATGATAAATATTCTTTAAAAGAATGAGTACAAATAAAAGAAAATCGATATGGATTCAATCCGAGCTGACATTAGCAAATATTGAGTGTATTGGATGTTACTGTTTATTTGTTAAACTGTGGCTCAGTCTCAAAATAAAATCCTGAGTGCGTCTGAAAATGAGAAAATGCTTACCTAGGCGATTTGGTATCCTTTAAATTAGCAAAGGAACATGCGTTCCTTCCGCTGCCGTTTTTGATTTCGTGCAACCAAACGCCGCCTTCCATTTTTCGAACGGGTACGAAGAGCGAAAACGTGCTCTTCGAATCCTCCAAGTGGTCACCATCCTTTCTGGTGTGGTAGCAAAGGGAAAAATAGCTCCTCCCACTGCATATACTATCGGGGGTACCGACTCTGCTAGAGTAACTGGAACTAAAGCCGTCATCCGTGGACGACTTCGAGTCTCTGGATAGTCGACGATGAAGCATGCGCTCCATACAGAGGCTCAAGCGACTTTGATATTTTTCGGTGATCTGGAAATGACTTAATTGCAAAAAATATATATAATGGGTGAGTAAGTTCTGGAATGTTATCAGGCATTAAACGAGATAGCAAGTTAGAATCAAATAACACTGTCGCGGATACTAGAGCACGAAGGCCAGAAAGGTAACAACCAGCACCATTTTGGAGGGGTGGCTAAACCCATTGAAAAATCAACCATCAAAAAATGGATCAAAAGAGAATCCCGACAATTTACAGCAGACCCAATTTTCCAGAAACTTTCACAGGCTACTGTGTTTTTTTTTATTTTATTTATAGTGATTTGACCAAACGCTCTCTGCTCAGGGCGAACAACTCTAAGTTTAATCTGTAATATGAGATTATTTTGCAAAAAACGGGATTTCAATTCAACAATGCAATTACGGCTTGGCGGTCATTGTGGAAACTGTAAAGTGAAAGAAAAATAATTTCTAGCATTTTCTGCTGCTCGCTCCACCCACTCCAAAGTTTTTATAAATTAAAAAAAAACGCAGAACGAATTTTATAGTGGAATCAAATCTCTTGCAATAATAAGGCCACCTTTTTGAAACGAAGATAATGTTGGTGACACGGTCCCAATTAGACAATCCACAAGTCTTTTTTAACATGTTTTCTCTGGAAGGAACATTTAAACCGCGCTTAAAAGGTAATTGTTTACCAGTTCCGTGACGACATCTTTAGCAGGTGATTCGGAGCCCTCAATCTTTATTCTGCTCAAAATTTTGGTGCCCATCTTGACAGTTTTCTTTGGCGGCATGTGCAGCTGAAAAGACGATTGGCTAATATTCGCTGGGAATTTTGGTTCATGCGACCCTAAAATGCCATTTACCAATTTCGAGACAACACTAAAAAAACTTTTTGTACCTTTTATTAAAACCCGTTGTTTCAAAGTCGACATTTCGGTTGCTCGTTAAACGAGTATCTGCAAAAAACGATACAATGAATCCGCTGAAGTAAAAAACAATTCAGTTTGTAACTTTTTATTTATACAGTGTAAAAAATGCACTAATTTGGAAAATAATAAAAATGCACTTAGTTAGCAATGTATCGATTTGCTAATCAGATGCTTTGAACAGTTAAGTAATTTCGCAAACTTCAATCACATCAAACTTAACAATCAATATTTATATCCCTTGGAAAATTAGATTTATAAATATTTGGAAGTGATAAACACAGCAGATTATAATACAGATTTAAAAAAGGGCTATTAATCTTACTGCGCCAGTTTCAAATCCGCCTGTAAAACGCAGTACAGAGAGTTCGAAATAAGGTTCAACACCCCCTTAACTGAGAAACTTTTTTCTTAATTTTTCATTTATAAGGGGTGTTATATTAATCTAACATAAGGTTATCTATTCCGTAAATTTATAGTTTCCCGAATATTTGACAATTTAACATTTTCCTATTGTAATAATGCTATGATACAACACAAAAACGTCACTTGACCAACCACCATCTATTTACACGTATTTCATTCAATTTATTTGATTTTTTCCATTAAAACCCAGAATATATTCAGAAAATTCGATTTTATATTGAAAACAACACAAATATCGCTTTAACCACAACAGAATTTCATAGATAATATCCATAAAGGATTCCCGATAAAAACATAAGCAGGATTATAAAATTATTAGATAACACGGGTTACTACATTACGAATTTAAAAATAAATAACCCCCCATCTTCAGCGAGACAAGTCCATATTAGTTCTAATTTTCTAATTATGTTCCCTACAGCACGCCACTTCAATCTAGAAACTGAACTTCGTTTCTAATTGTATTTTTTCTAGCTTCAGTATCATCAACAAAACAACCATAATATTACAATAGGAAAATGTAAAATTGTCAATTATTGCGGAAACCGTATTTTTCCGTATACAAGGAGACCCAAATTTTTAATGCCAAATCGGATAAAGATATATTTATACTTTAATTTTTGTACTTCATTTTTGCTCACCGTGTATTAATTTACATAGAAAATATCCCATCGATAGGTGACAATAAACCCCTTTCCACAAGGTATTCATCCTAAATTAAATAATGAAGGCTGCCTTATAGAAAAAACTGTTTATTATTTTAGATCCTTAAATATATCTAGAATTTCTCGTGGAATCCATAAATTCATTAGCATGCTATTTAAAATAAGAAAACTCATATTTACCCCAGTTGAACGGTATTAATAGACGAATGAATTTTAAAAATTAAAAAATCTGGATGAAACTATACAAATTTTCTATTTAACCTTTTTTCTATGGTTCGTAGTTGTACATACTGCTCTACACAGAACCTGGTAAACTACCCCTAGCATAAGCTATTATCTTGATTCGGGTTTAAAGGCCGTCGTCGGTTGGAATTACTTCCTAACTTTTCGCTAGCACGAGTGGCGAGCTTCTTCAGAGGTCCTTCCATCTCCGGAGATGGAAGGACCTCTGAAGAAGATGGAAGGATCTCTGAAAAGAGTCGTTTTGAACCCTACAATTTTTGTGAAGTTTTTTTGCTTGTAAAATTGGAAATAAATATGATGGGAAAATAAATATTAAATCCACCTTACACCTTTAAGGGTTTAAAAATAACCATATAATCCAGCTCGAAAAGTGGCCGCCGTGTATCTCATTTTCTCCACAACTTTAAAAATAGAAATTTTTAAATTTCACTTTCACTGTTTTAACCAAAAGTGAAACGAACGTTTTAATTTTAAGAATTAACCTATACCTTTAATAGCATTCCCCTGAAATTCTTTATTAAACAATACTTGTACCATAAAATGTACCCTAAGGGAGGACCTAAAGAAGAAAAGATCCGTATTTCCAAAATGCTAACCCTAGTAACTAGTTTCAAGTTTCGATTTCTTCTTATCTCTATGAATTCCTTCAAGTGTTGATTTCGGAAACAATTTCGCCTCGGTGTTTTATGGTAAAAACAAATTCGTAAAACAACAAAATTTATTGGATACATTATATTGATTTTTTTTTGTTTCTAAATTAATTATAAACCCAAGATATACCCAGAATAATTACAATAAATAACTTTTAAAGATAAAAATAAAACAATAAAAGCAACTTCAAGAGCTACAAACTTTTAAATTATTTTAGAAATGTTAGATATTGCAAAAAATTAATTAGACACAAAATAAAACACAAATTAGTTTTTTTACTAGCACTAAAAGCATAACTAAAATTGATTTCAAAATTTTTTGCATATTCATAATTTCAAATTAAATATAAGAACATTCTAAAAAATCAATTTCCTATTTAATAGTTAATTTATTCAATGCTATTTTTTTAATTTGAATTTTTCCAAATTAAAAACCAACGACTCCCACTTATATTGAAAATGAAAGATGCTAAAACATATTTTGGGATCGGTGTATTAGATTAGTGGTGTATCAATTAGTATAAATTATGGAGGTGTATATAAGTTAAATAATCTAAGAGATCGTCAGATTCAATATTTGTTTATGTTTCTAGTTTTGTTTTATCCCTGCTTCAGCTAAACAAACATGTGTCGAGTTTAGGTAGATACTGTATTTAGAAAACTGTGAGTAAAAGATCAATTATTGCAATAGAATTCAAGTGGTAAAGTACAATAATAGAATAATAAAACATTGTTTTTAATGCGAGGTTTTTATTTAAATGTTCTTCATGAGTATTTTTGTAAATTTATTTAATAATTTAATATCATAAATATTAATTTTTAAATTTGTTTTTCTAATTACTTTCGCAGAATTTTTAATAGCTATAGCTATTCATCCATTTAGAATTATTCGCTTACCCCAGTTTCAAGTGTTGTCTAAATAACTAAATATTTAAAATATGCACAACAATACACGAATAGTGAAGTAAAGCCACCGCAATCAAAATATTACTAAGAAACGCGTTATCTGTTAAACAAATACCCATTAGCGTTGGATGTTTTGGGTGGCAAATATTTACCATTGTTGGTTGATTTTCGCATAATGACTAATTTATTCCTGATAATTGGGGACAAATTATTTTATGAAACATTCGTCGTACTCATTGTGTCAAGAATAAGCTGATTTTTCTTTCGACCCTTTACAGACTCTAGACTGGAGTGGCTATTGCCTGCAGAGGGAAGAGGACTAAATATGCAATTTTTTTACATAAAATAAGTGATAAGGTGTAAGAAATATATTGCAATTATGTGATTCGGTGCAGTTCTGGCAATTTATATATTTATTCGGTAATTCAAAATTAGATTACTTGAAGCGCGCGAAGAGCAAGCGGATGAGTAGGATGTTAAGTCGGTATGGTCGATAAATCACATCTTATGCTATTTTATACTTTGTCATCAAGTACACTTCTAGTCATTTGACAACATAAATTGGAATATTACAATTAAGAAGACGTACATAATATCACACAATTTTGTTGATCAGAAAATATGACCACCATGTTGTGTCATAATAATTTCAAATATTTCTTTAACAATACGGGGTAGCTCCGAGCGGTAACTCCGTGGTTCTGGAAAAATTTGTGAATGCAATATTTGTTTCTATAGATATGCTGCATGCAATGAAAATAATTGATACTATACACGGTATTTTATTAGTATCTTACAGCATCCAACTTATTTACTACTTAATCTCAATGGTTTAATAGATTTATTCGCCCTGCATCTTATTGTCTGGTATGATGTACGATCTAATTCTGCATCGATTTTCTATCAAAAGTCAACAAAACCATAAAGTTCTTTCTAGTTAGCATTGATTTTAACCAAGTTTTCCATGTTCTTGATTTTATTTACTTCGAAAGAAGTAAAGAACTCTGGAACTGACCATCTAGATCACCGAATTTGGAGCTCTTAAATTTTTCACTTCGTGACTCTATAAAAGAACTACTGTCCTGATTGTAGGACTATAAAATAAAGACGAATCATTGAATGGTATTGACGATGCTTTACTACTTTAAATTCAGACACACATTGAAGGTGTCGCCGTCAAATGACCAATGTGAGTGCGCGTTCCTGCAATTGGTACTCGCCCTCTCTTTCTCTGGTTTTTGAGTGTCATCTCGCAAGAGGCGCGCGCGATGCTCGAAAAATGTTCTCTCACTGACAATTACACTTTTCCATTCCAAGTTATTTTGAAAAAATTATGGACCCAGTAATGAAGTTTGGACGATACTCGACAGTCATTTTAACCCAAAAACCCCTTTTTTCTACTCCCTTCTCTAAAATGCGTGTCGAAAGTGTCATTTTTGTTGTGTTTCCCACGAATCCGAGCCACTTCATCCCACGACTTGAATTTTGAGGTTTGTCTATTCTGACGGTCATACATACCAGTGAATGTGTTCGTGTTTTGCAAAAATATACCGAAAAACTAACGCTTCTAGAAAAAGTCTAGTATACAACACGATTGGTAAACTTGTTTTTCTACTCCTAAAATACCTAATTATACAACGATCTAGCGGACGGAAAGCGGCACTTTACCAAGTGAATTTCTTGTCCCACGGATCCGAGCCACTTTGGACATTTCTAGGATATGACCGTCCGGGTTTAAGAGCAACCCCATGTTTCCAGAGTTTTTACCGCACGGCTTGAATTTTGACGTTTGTCATTGCTGACGGTCATGTCAGTGAATGTATTCGTGTTGTTTTACAAAAATGTACCCAAAAATTAACGGTCGTAGAAAAAGTATAGTATGCAGCACGTTTGGTAAACTAGTCACTCGTTTATTATACACTCGGCTGAGCTCCGCTCGTGACAAGTAAACTCGTGACTCAATGCCCTTTACCACACTTATTGCATAATATACTATTGAGTGAGACCACCCACATGGTAATTTATTCGTGGGCTCCCTAATAAGCTTGTATACTACCAATATGTATTATAACCACATTATAACTGTTCAGAAAAACCAAAAAATGGATTGTACAATTAGGAAATTTGAAATAATTGAAATAAAATATCTTGGGTTTTCATTTCACGTTTATTTTAAAAATATATATTTTAAAGCCTATTAGACACACATTTACCTTTAAAACACTTTATTTTTTTATTTTATTTTATTTTATTTAACACTACTGAGTTACATTGCGTGAAATAAATAAAACAGTGATCAATAATATGATCCATGTATTATTCATTTAAATGTTCTTCGATTCATCCTTTTTTGACGTCCTGTCATTTTCCTCATCTATGATTTTATGTTCTCGCTTAACAAGTTCTCCAAGTTCGGCCTGTACAAATCAGAAAAACCAAAATGGAAGTTGCACTATTTGCCATTTTTGAATTTTGTGTTGTATTGGAAATGTATACTCCAATGTAACTCTTGCCAAGGAAGCTAACCAAAAGGTCAAAACAATTTAAAATTTATATTTTTGTCTCATCTCATTTGATGGTTACCTGGCAAACACCTTTTATTATTTTTATTTATTTATTAGCAATTAAATGTAAATATGATGCTCATAATTTTCACTTGAGGCATAAACGCTGTATATCGCATCTCCCTCATAACACGTCAATCTTTATGAGATCCCTTTCGTAGCAGGTTTACATTTATTATATTACTACATTTAAAAAGGCTGCTGGTAAATGGTTGAGCAGTTGAAATGTAATCGCAACATTTGAATTGCCTTAAGTGCATGAAGTATATTATTATCACTATTAATTTAGCGGTGGAGTAAAATGTGCAATGAAACTTGGATTTCGCTTTAGCATAAAATTTTAGCCTTGGCCAAGATTTAAACATGGCAAATATGGGAGCTTCCATTTCAAATGAGATCCTTTAAATGATGTCCCTATACACTGTGTCCTAAATTACTTGTAATCACAGAGTTTGTTGGTACCCAGCAAAGATAGAACTTTGCGGTGTTCGCGACCCTATTTCAGTTTTTTTATGAAACTCTGAATGATGCAAACAAAAGTATGCCACCCTGTTTCATTCCCGAGATACAGGGTGAAATAGTACCTTTTGGAGTGTAGTAACAAATTTTTCTGGCACGCCATTTATGAGTTATAGTCAAAGATAGTATTTTTTGCAACACTTTTTTTTAATGATACATCGCACTCTACATTTATCTAATATTTTGTTATAATATGGCGTTTTTGATGGTTAGTTACGAGATATTATAATAAAATATTAAATATTAAAGTGTTCAAACGCAAAATTAAACAAATATATTAGCAATTTTAAAAAAATATTTTTAAAGTATAGGGCCAAAACAAAATAACGAGATAATGAGACTTCATCAGCAAGTGTTAAGGCCAATCACGCGAATCTCTATAGGAAAATTGAGGAAATTTTCTGCCAAACCCAAAGGCAATTAAGAAAATATAAACTTTATAAAAGAAATATACTGCAAAAATTGCATTCTGGAGACGCAGAAATGTACCTAGAGTTTATAACTGATATCTCCAAAAAATCCAAAATCACCCCAACTTCGGTAGCAAGATTATATGGCCCGACGAAGTCAATATAAGTTGTTGTGGCATTTTCAATAGGAATAGATATATATACTCTGTCTCAATCTTCATCATGTTTGCTTTCGACGAACTCACTCCAATAAAACTTTAGCGATGTTAACCAAACAAGTTTTCAAAAATATGTGTGAAACTTTAATTAATAAGTAGAGGACTTATTAAACAAAAAGCTTTAAAAGAAACCTGTCTACTTACAAAAACGTCCATAAGGGATATTACTAATGGTAGAAAATTGAATAAAGGCAATAAACTGAATAATTTTCAAACTCGCCGTATAGACAATAGTGATTAGGACCTAATAAGAAGGAAGATATGTTGATTTTATCAAAGCTAAGTTTGGAGAAACTGAAAAAGAGGCTAAAAGAAGGTGAAATAAATATAAATATAAGCCATAGAGTTGTTTGTGAAACAGGATTTAAGTACCGCAGAATAAACAAAAGGCAAGGAGTAATGGAATCAGATTACCCACTTGGAGATTTAATTACCTTCATGAAATTAGAAGATAAAGATTAGACAACAAATCCATATTTACCTTGATGAAACATGGTTCGATACACACGACACTGTATCCACACTGTATATGCTGGGGCAGAAGAACGATTTGTCCCAACCTGCTTGCTGTTGTATGCAAAGGATATTAAGGATTCTAGCTTGGATTACCAAGTGCCGCACTTTTTGAAAATTGGATACCACAGCTGTCTGCTACACAAACCACCGGCCTCATCAAGCTCAAAAACTGAAATCCAGGACTATGTGGTAGAAAATGATATTTATTTTGAATTCAATTACAAAAAAGCGCCACTTTTGGAAGACCTAAATTCAAATGCAATTAATAAACAGTGTGTATGCGATAATTTGGCTGAACAGGCTGGGCATACTGTTTTATGTATTCATCCATATCATTGCATGTTTAACCCCATAGAGCATTTGAGCCACCAGGTAACCTACTTTAAGTCCCAATGCAATAAATTTGATAAAAAATGTAATTAATAACATACCAATTGAAAACTGAAAAAAATCAGTACAGCCGATTATAAAAATTGAGGACCGTTACATTTCTATACATAACAACATAAATCCTATTATAATTAATCTGAATGACGACTCTGATAGTGAAACAGAATTAGATTTAGACATTTAGAATAAAAATGTAATTATGTATAGTGTAATTTAATAAGATACATAAAATATATTATGATCAAAAACTTTGAAATTCCGTACCTAATGGTTTGTCCTTTAATACCTACTGGACCCGAGTATTGCCGTCGGCAGGTAACTTCCATAATTGAGGGCAATGAAGATTGAGACAAACCATATACGGAAAATCAATTTTTAAGAAGAAAAAGGAAGGGTTGTTTTTAGCCGCCTTTTGGGAACAAAGATTAAATTGCACAGTTACAATAACAATTTATTGGATAACGTGTCGCTAGCAAATCTCCGCAATATTTGCTTTCAGCAAGATGGCTTCCTGCTCACAATGCACAAATTATAAGGCAATTTCTTTTTTGAAAAATTTGACAAGCACTGGACTGATACCAATGGATAAGGTAAGCCTGCTAAGTCTCCCTCCCAATATTAGATTTTTTAGGTTGAACTTACTTAAGAAACAAAATTTACCTGAATCAAGTCAATACTGTGGAGCAGCAACAAAACTAAGCTTTCAGGCAATTAGATCCTTGGAAAATGAACCTACCATAATGATAATAATTGCCAATTGTGTGTTTGAGAGAGGAGGGGGGGGGGGGAACCATTTTGAACCGTTATTTTAGTCATATAGAATTTGTTTATTATTATTATCATTCAGTTTATCAAAATTATTAAGTTTATTTATTAAGTAAAAAATCTTGTTATCTCTTATCTTTTATGTGTTTTCTTTATAATATTGCATCTTTAAGGATTAGTTTATGTCAGAGCTAGATAGTGCATTTGAAAGAAAAAAATAAGGGTAATTTTTTGAAGTCAAAAAATACAGGACTGGGCTATATTTCTAAAGTGGTTTTTCTAAAAAAAAATAACACACCACTGGATTCTATGTAAAAATATTTGTCTACAGCAGTTTTTACTTTTTTTCTATCTTACAAGGGGTCCAAAATATTACATCACTTCAAAGAGCGCAAAATTCCTATTTCATCCTGTATCTCGGCCCCTAAACAAGGCATAATTCTGTTTGCGGCATTCAAAGTTTACAAAAAAATGACTCTGAGTCACGAAAACTGCAAAGTTTTTTACCAAGAAACCCTGTTATTACAAGACATTTGGGACATAGTGTCACTATTCACTATTATTTCTGAATCTGTTAACAATTCTAACAGGATATACATACACCCCATCCTAATTTATCTGCTAATAATTGGCATCCATCATCGCATTCTCCAATCCAAGCAACATCCCTAGTGTTCCCTTCCTTATCAAATTCTAAGCCGCCACCCATACCCAACATTCCCATAAGACCCTTCCGATGCCCCACCTTCTCTCGATTTATTAAAACACGAGGAACATTTGGCAGGGTTCTGTAAATATTTTTCTTTATGTCATTGTTTTTGTTCTATTGAATATGTACCTGTCAACCAAAGACGCAAATGGCTCAACCACTAGAGAGGAGCCCAAAATTATGAGCATATCACACTTTTTAAAATCATTTCGCAGGCAATTGTAAAACTTATCTGGCAAAGTTTCTCCAAAAAAAACAATGTCTGGTTTGACCACACCAGGGCATTTTTCACATATAGGAACTTCATCCTTAAATATCCTCTCTAAAAATACAATAGTAAAAAACACAAAATAAAAATTCATCAATTGTAAACTACACCCTTCATCCAATCCTGACTATACTCCTGATGGCAGATCAAACAATGTCCTGTATAAAAAGTGCCATGAGCTTCGACAATCTTATCCTCCATAATTCCTGCCACTCTCTCCAAAGTATCAATATTCTGAGTATAGTGTCTCAGCAACATTCCCTTTTCGCACAACATGCGAATGAAATAATGACAAACAGTCGGCTTAAAGGTGCCCGGGTAAATTTCCTTTGCCAAAGCAAAGAAAGGCTTGGGATTATCCATAAAAAAATCCAATTCAAATATAGCTTGAGGATGAGGCAAATTATATTTCTGCAGGTTATGATAAAGGCCGGTTCCAGCTGACCGAAAATCCGGAATTCCCGCCGCTAAAACCTTGACACAATAATTCAATAGCTACTAATTTCAGTCACAATTACAGGTTGATATTCCCGCCCCAGCCATGGTAATTATCCTCGTACAATTTTTTGTCTTAATATAGCTAGCGACCCCATCAATGGATACCTCATCCAAAACCTGAAAGAATCTAGAACTAAAATATGCAACAACCCCCCTAAACTTGAAGATAATCATAATGAGGGAGTAATTATAGGTTATGTACCTTTATTTTATCTTCAGTATCATCACCTAAATCTAATAGACCCAACTTTTCGACCAAATATTTTTGCAAGTTTCTTAAAGTCGAACCTTCGCTGGTACTAGCTGAAGAGTCGTTTTCAGATTCAATGATTCTGCTATCAGTATTGGGTACTAGAGAATATTCCCGTCATTAATGATGTAGTAAGTCATAAACATTTATTTACCTTCCTTGTTTTCCTTGGACGACATTTTTGAACAGCGTTCCCATCAATATCTTGCTTTAAATTAAGTGTTCAGTTCAATAAATACGGCAAATCAACTTTAATTAAATTGCAATTGTACTAGTCAATCCCATTCAATTCAATTCAATGATGCGTTTCACAGATAACTGTTGGGCACGACTACCAGGATCATTCGCCCATTGCCGACTTCCGTCGAGGATTCTCGGATCTTCTCCAGGAAGGAGACAGAATTTTGAAGTTCTAAATGTCGAGGATTTTCGTATCTTCTCTGGCGAAGAAGACTGATTTTTGAAGTTCCAAATATCTAGGATTGTCAGATCTTCTCCAGCGAAGGAGACTAAACTTTAAAGTTCCAAATGTCGAGGATTTTCGGATCTTCTCCAGCGAAGGAGACTAATCTCAGAAGTTCTAAATGTCAATTTTTCGGATTTTCCCCCCAAGTCTGCGCTTTAAAATATCAATCTTTGCTTTAATATCTAGTAGAATGTAGCTGTTGGAAGCTTCAACCGCACTGCATCCGAAGCTCTGCAGGGCACTTTTGGAATCGGAGACAATTACTGCCTGTTTAATATTATAATCTAATATAAGATCTAGGGCGTAACTAATAGCTACCATTTCTGCAGAGCAAATACAAAACGCGCTATTCAACCCATGCCCGACCCTACCATTGAGAAACGGAATAAATACTCCAAAGCCAACTCTATCATCTGGTCCCTTAGAGGCATCGGTAAATATAAATGTCTCTTCCCATGGGAGTAAAAAAGATTCATTAATCATGAGTATATCCGGACCAAAGTCACGAATAAGTCTAATAATACTATCACAATTACTTCTAATACCGCAAGTGTTCCAATGAATAATTGAGAGATTACTAATTTTAACAGAAAGATTTGACTGTCGATCTGGGAACATTAATAAATTAAAACCTGCATCCTCCGGGAGGAGGCAGGGAGTCAAAAAGACTCTCAATTTCATGGTAAGCACTTTTACTGGGTATATTGGACAAGACTTTTTTCTTTAAATTTTCAAACCGATACCAAAATTCACCAGAGGAGGAAACCCCTGGAGAAGCAGTGTCCATCTCGGACTCTGACGATAAATCATTTAAATATGAGGGAGAAGATTGACTTTTGCTAGTGTGATTCAACTTCTGCCTAGTCAACGGCGGCACGAGACAATCCCTGTGGGCGTCCGTATCATACCCTGATTCTATTTGGGGGGACTTACGCTTTTTTGCTATGACAGAATAAGTTTTAGAAGCAGATCTAGGGGAAGGCTGAGAGACGGGGGCAACCGTGTTATGAATAGGAGGGAAATTTTCATTAGAGCGATTAAACTCACTTGATTTGGGGCCTCTTGGAAAGAGTTTGGCCGCTTCAAAAAAGGATAAGTTGTACCATGCCATAGCCTCATTGATTTTCTTCTGTCTGTCCATTTCCGGACACGATCTATCAGTGGCCTGATGAGAGCCTTTACAATGGATGCAAGTTGGCTTTGGAGATATTTCGCAATTACCCAGGCTGCATTTACCTTCATGATTTAAGTGGTCTGTCGGGCATGGTTTCTTCTTATAAAACTGTTCTTTCAGTTCACAATGAAATACTGGATGATCTCCAGCGCAGAAACTACATCTACCCTTGCTTTTACATTGGTTTTTCCAATGACCAAACCTGCAACAATTCATACATAAGACAACAGGACTAACATATTTTTCGATTGAACACTCATTTTTATAGATACTGATTGATTCTGGGAGAGTTTTACCGTCAAATGTTATTATATAATCATTAGATGGAACTGTCTTGAAACCAAAAGTGCCAGGCAGAACACCTGGGCATTTGACCCTTTTAGTTAGTCTGCGAACATTAACAATCTTAACGCGCTTTAGCGATCTTCCGATGTTAACCTTGGCTTCTGCCTCAGAGTAAAAATCATCCTCATCAATTAAGTCACCAATGTCCCTCACCAACCCTCGGCAAGTGACTAGTCTTTGAGGTATATACTTATTATACCCACCAGCTGTCGAATATGTTTCATTAGATAAAAATTTATTTGCAGACTCAGAGGTGTTAAACTCCAAACCGATTTTATTGGCTCCTTTTCTAGAAATTTTCAATATACCTTGAACTTTCTGCGCTTGAAGTAACTTCCCAAAGTTCATAGGATGAAGAGTCCCCACCTTACTTGTAATCCCCTCCAGAATCACCATAAAAGGCCCCTGGTCGGTGATTTCATATTTTGTTTTCCGATTTACTGTCCTTCTTATGTTTGCGGAGATTTTGGCAACTTCCCGCAGGATTTCAGCGTCTTGCTCGAACTGATTCTTGATAATCTGGATCTCTGCCGATAACTTTGACAACTCTTCACCTGAGGGCACATCAAAATACTGGAGCCTGGAAATATCTTCAGCAGTTTTTTTGCAATCCGGTGGCAAAATGTTACAAATAATGGCGTTCAACGGACGATTTTGAGAATCATTGGATAAACTGTCATTTTCTTGTGCTGCACTAACCGTCGGGGGGCCCTCGCCCCCCGAAGAGTCCCCCATGGTTAGTTTCCAGAGGTTAGAGGGCCAAGAGGAGGAAACTACCAGCCACAAAAACTGATATATAACTGGATGCGTTAAATGGACTCACCAAATAACAGAAAACAATAAAAATTAGGGCCGATGTCTAAAGATTTGCACAACAATACTCAGGTAGTGTTCACTCCTTCGCTGTTGTACCGAAAAAAAAAACAGTCAATCCCATTAATTCCGATACGTTCCTCAAAAATTTTGGGCAAGTTTAGTATGAACATTCGGCCATTTCCGACTAACCAGGATTTTGAACTTATTATTGGTAGCACTAAACTTTGACCGGTTACCCCCGCTCCCCCAAAAAAATTATCCAAGGTCATCCGGTCTGCAAGCGGCTTGAATGACAACTAATATAATATAGTTGTCTATGAATGGCAACAACAGCTGGGCTGACAACACTTATACTTTCAACATGTTCATAGAACACTAAAACCCCTCAATTCTGACTATAACCTCTTTAATTTAAATTTAAATAGTGAGTTTAGTTAATTGGGTTTGTATCACAGGTGTTTACTATTCCCTTCTTTTGTGACATTTTTCCGTCAATCTCTGTAACCATCATGACGCCATATACTTTTTGTCGGACCTAATGTCACGTGAATATTTTAAGCATCTAAAATTGTTAACATTTCCAATTTCTGTAACGTTTCTATTTTTTGACTAACATTGTAGAGTAATTATGGTAATGCAAACCTAAAAGGAAATGTGTTCAACAAGTGGTTGGATAATAACAATATACTTAAGTACAACGTAAGTTGTAATTTCATTGACCTAATATTTTGACAAAATTTTTCCCGTTTGTGTAAGGTCCTGATAAAGCTGGCATTCATGAGCTGAAGCTAAATTGATAAAACAATAAATACCTACTATTGAGCTACAGCATATTTTATTGCTCATTTTGCATGTTCATCAAGTGGGGCGTTCCCAGTGCTTTCACTAATGACATTTATTTTCAAATAATTTCAAATTGTCTTTGATATATAACTTTTACGTAAATTTTTTGTAATCCAAATCGTAATTGAGACCAACAAATACAGTATAATCTCCACTTTTGCGGCCATGTGCGAAAGTAGTTATATAATGGTGGTTCCCTTGAGAACAGAATCCCTCAAAAGCACGTTTTGGGTAAGTGACTTAAAAAAATATCACAATGAAACAGTTTATGGCATGCAAGTAATGCAAAAGTGAATTATTTATAGATAAGTAACTCTCCCAGAAAAATTCTCGCTTATTTTATTGTAGCTGTAAATGTTACAATTTTGGATTTAGGGGGAAACTTATAAACGGTACCTGTTGCTTTCTTGGTCATACACCAACATTCCAAACATAAGTGTAATGAGATATTGTTTAATAATATTTCTAGTTTTTCTACCCGTTTGCATTATTAAAATTGGGTGTAAAGTGTGATGAATACAATATTGCTTCAGAAGGTAAACCTAAGGTAAGATAAACATCCACGTATACTATAAGTATGCGTTGCATAATAATGCAACTTGACCGAAGAGATATAGGTAGATTTCATTGATTTCGCATATTTTTTTACCAGTGGTTACCATAAAATTATTTACCTATGGGTCCGAGTGGCAGCTTGTTTTACCGCTTCCGATGTGCAGCCACCAGGCACAAGCACCCGCCCAAACCCGATTTTAAAAACTAACCAAAGCTGACCACAACTGCCATAATTAATTGTGGACTAGTATAAATGGATTGGGCTCAAGAAAAATCAAATTTTCGCTCGTTTACATATTCTGGATTTCTAAATTGAAATCAACGAGTACAATTTGATTTTTTCTTTTATTTGGCATTTATTTACTCCGGAAAGTAAATGCCCATTCAGTGAACTAACCGCTCAATTATCCCATTATTTATTAATAAGATGAGAAGAATTATATGAAATTTTAGAATGGACATCAAGCCTGCACAGATATCCACCCCGGGCCTAGATCTACAATTATGCAATTGTTCCACAAAAAACTGTACATCTTTAAACAGGTTAGTCCCAACCTTGTTATAAAGAGGACATGTAGACAATCCGCCCTCAGTTTCAAACAGCGCACTGAAGAAACCAGCAGCGCGAAGGAGGAGGAAGGAGGAACGCAGGAGAAATTCAGAAGTTCCGCAGCTTACGGAAGTTTCTTTGTTTTTTAATGTTGTTAAATCGTTTTTTTATCAATTAAGTGACATGTTGTTGGTATTTTGCAAGAGTTTCTTGGCGTATAGGATTTTAGCCTACAATTGGTCCCGATGGAGAGCTATTTACTTCCTGTGGGGGATTTTCGGGTCTATCTATCTATTGTGAGACTTTTTTTTTTAAAGAACTCGGATGAATTCGCAAAGGATTTGTATGCTTATCACCCCAGTGCATCAATTTACAAAAAAACAAACCAGTATCTGCAATTTCCTAAAGGCGACGTAAGCATGATAGATGCGGCTAGACAGCAAGAGGTTGAAGACTTCTACATAGTAAATATTGGCCCACGGCCCTAAGCGGTGACTTCCCTACCTTTTTTAGCTTTCTCAACTTCACCGCGATCACTACAAAGACCATACCGATACAGTACATCCAGTAGACTATTTTCGAACTGGGACGAACCTGTATCAGTGTTTAACAGATCCTACTAGGTATACTGTATTTGGTTTCAGCAAGAGATCATGTATTTTTTTATAAGTAATTTTCAATTATCTCTGTATTTTTCAGCGCCTATCTTCAATGTCCCGAATTCTACACGCAATACAAACATCCTATAGTTCTACCCTTGACTTTGGAAAGATCTTACAAAACCTCATCGTTGCCGAAAAGAGCCCTCACAGGTGTTTATAATAGGTCAAGTGTTTTCATCAGAAGTTAATATAAGTTTACTGTCGAATCTTGAAAAATAAACAAAGAAACTGTATTTCACATCGTATTATTAAATCAATTTATATAAATATATAGCATTCTGACAATAGTAATTTCAAATTTACACCTAGAATAAATAAAACAGCAAAAATAATACAAATTCGGCTTTGAAATCCAAGAGGCATATTCGATAAACACAAAAAATTGTCGTTGACAATTGGCAAAAAGGAAGAAGAAGTAGTGGAAACGGTACGGTGGAGTAAGTTAATTCAACTACAGTACCTTATGGACAATTTTTGCAAAACATGCATCGTTTTCGAGTAATTTCTGAACCCTGACGTGAGTAAAATTGGTTTTAAGTCAGTTGGAGTCTGAGCCTTAGCGCTGTATTTAAATATGGTTTACGACATAAAACCAAAAGGTAGAGCTTGCTGAGTGTTATTTTTCATTCTCTTTGATGATGATGTTTGAGTCGATAATCTTTTTAGCACTATGCATTACAAATTTTTTACATGAAGCATCATTTGACAGACGGTTATGGATATGCCTTTACGTTATGCTATCCCATCGAAAATTACCTTTACTGCCATTTAGCCATTAATATCCACTAGAAGAAGGCTCTTCAAAAACGAATTATTTTAAGTATTAAGGAACATCTCCACCAAGCAACATGCGCGTGTCACAATATGCCACATTTCTTTGTGATTTGGAGCGTACCGCAGCGACTATTAGTCGTTTTGTGAATGAGCCGTGCTGTACTGAACAATATCGAACTTAAGTACTTATACCTAGAAACACAAAACTAAATCAACTCTAGTGTAGAAATATGCGCCTCTCTTTTAAATAGTAATTTTTTATTTTTGCAAAGACAGGGTAATCAGTACAGATTAATAATTGTAATCTCATCACAGATATTGTTATTATTTCTACGGAGTTTAATGTATTGGAGTTAATTTTTGCCCATTAAAACTTAAAACAGAAGGAATGCGGAAACTCGGACATCTTTCCCACCGCGTGCACAAATTCCTGAATTCCGACCCGTCCTGATAATTCCAGATCCATTTCGTTCATTAGCTGGACAAAATCAATAAATATTAAAGCACGTTTGATGGAAAGTTGAAAATGACCCCGCGTTTGCATGTAGATAATAGAGAATGGTTTTTGGGTAGTTTTTTTACTAGTTTTAATTGTTGAATTATTAATCGAAAACCATTTCCTATTAAATATGGGCAGGGTTCATTCTCTAACTAATTCAATTTAATATTAAACTCACGATTTTAATTATGTGCTTTTGATCAGTTTCTGAAATGAAACCGGCACTGCTGGTCAGTCTTTTAATTACGTTCATCAAATCTTCAGTACCCACGGCTTCATCTTCATCGAAATCTAATAAAAAATATCGACCTAACTATACTTTGTTGTTTTACTGAAGACTTCGCGAACTAGATTAGCAAAGCCGTCTCCAGGACAGAAATCATGATATACCCTCACAGTTTAGATCCTGGAAACCGCTTTGCTCTATCTGAGAAATGGAACCTATAATGGGATCAACACAATAATAGTTTACACACAGCTATACTACAACGATACTACGTTCGTGTTGCTTGTTTCGCTAGCCAGACATCATCAAATGATATATTGAACGTAATATAATAAAGTACCGTTCTTTTTTTTGCCTATTTATTTTGGAGATTTTCTAAAATAGGCTTAAAGAAGAATTTGATTATTTCAATTCATTTTTGCATAGCAATAAATTGTGTTAGTAACAAAGTATAACCTGAAGAGAATACAATAATAAACTATGTTAGCACCTAATGTGAAATACGTGTGAAACCACATATTATAAAAAGAGATAGAAAAACTGCTATGGCATTGAAGAGCACAGACAAAAAAAGAAGTGCATTATGCGAATTTGACATATTATTATGATTATTACAAAGTGACATTTGAAGCCTAAAAAAGCGGGGATTTTTGCATTTTTGAGAGTGCTATAAAAAAAACGTATAAGTTGCCATTTATTGCTATACTTATATCAGACTTAAAACAATTTTCTTAAAACACGCCGCTTTAGAGATGCAGATCTAATGTCATTTGGACATTGGACTGGGAAAACCAATTAAAATTAAAATTTTGGAAGCTTTTGGTTCTTCATATGCAATATTTTGATTAAATAATTTAAAATCTATTTGAAAATAAAATCCGAAATGGACTAAATATTCTCTTCTGCGCATGCCACTAAATTTCACACACCGGTAACCTACATTTTGTACCATTTAGTTTCTGATATTCGCATACCTAAGTCGTTTTTTACCTTGGAAGGGGATCTGGGCACATTTTGACAAAATATTGCCGAATTAATAACTGTCACATTGACGACCTCTCAGCGGCCATGTTGGTTGCTGAAAGCCGCAAGGTGTTATTGGTTGAAAGCTAGAATTTAAACGACAGCGCATATTGAATATCCCTTCTCAACATTTTTTTCATATTAGCTTAAAAAGTGGCTGCAATAATTATGTGTTGCACTAACCAGCAACATTTGTCCCAACAATCTCACTTTAAAAGGGATTTTAAATATGTTTTAATGATTACTATTGGATTGTATTTAAATAAACAAATCGATGTTTTCATTGCATATTTAATAAATATATGGTAAAGTTCCAGCAATGCACTTTTTGTGGAACTTTTTTAAACTGATTGTATTTCTTTACGCACTTTCGTAACGAGAAAAGAAAAAAGTTCCTTTGATAATATCAGAATCGATTATTGACATGAATTGAATGAAGGTACATATTTAATAATATGACATTAAATAAAATTTCATAAAAATAAGCAAAATACACAATAACAACGGTAGAAGAAACAATTAACAAGCATGTCTTTCAGGAAGAACTTGAAGTTTTTGAACATAGCAGAAATTTGATATTAGCAGACCATTGTACTGGACAAAGACATTAAAAAAATAAATTAAAAAATATACCAGTGACATGGACTTACCAAATATTTGAAACGCCCAGGCAGCTTTCACTTTATCGGGGCATCTCTCGGACATCACCGAGCACAAGTCTAATACATCTTCAAAAGACATAAGACCGTCTTTCTGTGACGAAAATACCCTGAATATTCTGTCTTTAAATGGATTATACTGAAAACCAATTTACACTTAAACAAATTAATGTTCCATCAAATTATTGAGTTTGAAGCGGTTGATAATTTGAAGTTTGAAATTCCAACTGTATTCCAGGATGGTTCTCAAACAATTCTTGCCGCGAAAAGAATTCTAGGATTATTTGGAAAAATTTTAATATATTTTTTTAATTTTTCATTAAGTGCTCATGATTTGTACATTACAAAAGTTTTGAAACATCAGAAACACACATACGTTAAGGTAAAGTTGGTGGTAAATTATGAAAAAGGTTTGGTTATTGAGCTCTTCTACTTTCTAGCTAAAAAAATGTTCCAGCAAAGCATTAAATTTTGAATTAATTATGACCATGTTGATTATCCGCGCATGCTCAATCCCAAACCTAAATTAGTTGAAAAAGTACAAAGTTCCCCCTCCGCTTAACTGTAGTATACAGAAGTCGTTAAATGTTTGACGTGGTCCAATATTGATGTTGGCTTTCTGCAATAGATTTATGTTACTTTAAATACAAGCCTTTTTTGAAGAGGAATAATTTTGCTCTCTGATATTAATTTTGATGATAAGACATATAATTGAAAAAATTTAAAAGCAGCTCAATACTGTACACAAGGTTCTTCGGTTACCAACAGAGATAGAACTCCTAGGATCAGTTTTTCGTGAAACTTTGAATGTCACAACAGAACAGAATTACGCCACCTAGTTTCGTTGAGAAATAGAAATTTTGAGCTTTATGGTGTGGTATCATATTTCAGCCACCCTTTAACATAAAAAAGGTTAAAAGTTGTTGAAGATGCATAATAAAATTAATCAGGCATTAACTGGAAAATAGACCTATGAAAATAAAGTATTCTTACTATGTGAATTGTGAGTGCGAGAGAGAGAGGACAGTATTGAATAGTTCTTTTAGTCACGTAGAATTTGTTTATTGTTATCATTATCCTTATCAGAATTATAAAGTTTATTATTTTTGTTATTACTTCAGAGTAAAAACTGGTTATTAATGTTTATTTCATTTGATTTTGCCTTGTGGGACACTAGTATCTACAATTCCATGGCCACATTACGCTTTTCTTATGAAATTTAGTTTACATTTAATAAAATCTGATATAAATTTTTGCTTCTTTTTTTCAATGCAAAATCCATCTACGATCAGACATCTGTTTATTTTTATTTATTGCGGTTTTAAAAGTTAGTTTACCCTTTACTAGTTTTAAAGAGAAAAAGGCACTTTTTTTGGAACCAAAAAATAAGGGGTGCAATTTTTTATTCTACAGATAATACTTGATTTTATCCTAACGAAATTTCTACGTATTAGCTACTTGCAATAAAAAATTGGATCCGCAATAAAACTGCATCAGCTGAGTGAAGCACTTTTTATGCGCATGCCCAAAACAAAAATGAGATTTAAAGTAGTTGTAATTGTATTTGCAACAGATAGCATGTCTGGCCAGGCTGGAAATAGGAGTTGCAGTAATTTTATGAAAAGTTTCCAAGTAAGAATCGGCCTTAAGAAAAACAGTTGCAGATTGCTTGCATCTCAATGATAAAATAAATCATTAGAGCAACTACTTTATCTAATCAAAGACTTTCAATTGACTCACTAACTTTTAATTGTGTAAAAATTTCCTCCAGATTCTCGCAAGGGAATCTCCAATTCAGGTCTCCCAAAATTCCATTAGGGGCCAGTCGACTAAACACTTTATACAAACTACAACAAAAAAGAAATTATTTTCAATACCGGCCATCAATTTCTACCGAAACTTACTGTAAAATTTCACCTTTGCTGAGATACGTCAGAATGGTATACTCTTCAAGGAGGTCTTCCGTTAATACCGACAATGAGTTATTGTTTCCCATTTTTTCGTATCATAAAAGTTTGAGACTGCGTCGAGTGCGAACTAATAGACCAAATGAGAATGAAATGAGAGTGACGCCGGAATCAAATAAAAAACAATTAGATTTCAGATAAGATAATATATTAAGGTTTGTTTAATGTCCGATTATCCAAAGTTGTAAAAACCGAAAATGCTTGCGTATTTTGTGTTAATTCTACGAAAATAGGTCAAACAAACAATGCTATAATTCAATAGTTGTTATTTAATTATAGTATATGCCAGTACTAACATTCTACTCTAATGCGGAGGCGATTCAAGTTGCAACATACCAAATCAGTTTTTGATCAGATAAGCTCATTGTTTAGGAGGATCACATTTATATCACAGTTATAGATTTATTTCAATCGAGAAAAACTTAGACTAAGGACTACAGTGAGAAAAATATTTGATAATTTAAATTAAAATATTAGTAGCTCAAAGTTTTCTTATTAGAAGAGGCACCAGCATATATGTCCATGCTATGTTAGACTTTATCAAAAAGATTCGGTATTAACAAAGGATTAAATCAAAGTGGCTGTCTATCATCCTCTCTTTTTAAAATATGCTTAGAGCAAGCCCTAATTTTGTTGGCAAGAAAGTGCAGCAACTCCGCCTATGGAAATTGCTGTGTGGATTGAGTGGTTCAGTAACTTCCACAGCCGATTCTAAGCCTGGATAAAGGAGGAAGGTTGGGCATAAAGCTAAATATCTCATCCCGTAAAAGGAACGTTAAAACTCCAAGCCACAAATCTCGGATCAGCAATAAACGACGACGACCTGGCAAAGTAAATAGGAATATAACTTTTAGTACCTGGAATATCCGAGGTATTGCTTTAAAACAGAATTAAGTCAAAGAAAAGGCAAGGAAATACAAAACACATACACATACGCAGAGGAGTGAACAGAGAATGTAGAACAAAAAAGGGAATATCCATTGCCATCCGGGAAACGTATAAATGAAACATCAAGAAATGAACCCATACCGATAGACTTTAAGTTCAAAATATATGAAGTAACCATTGTTGCAGTATACGCATCCACTGATAATGCTCCAGATATTTGACAAACCTTCTAGACGAGGTCGGAAATAGGATCTTATTAGACTAGAAGGGTGTGTAGGCAGCAAAATGTAAAAATTATTGGAAGATATTGAGAAGAATGTGTAGATGACAACGGTGAAGGACTTATAGAGGTGTTTGAGCAATACAATCTCCAAATTTGGAATGGATTTTGCAACCATAAAAACAAATATAAATATACAAGAAACGAGTCAATTGAAATCCTTCATAGATGTAATGTAATGTAATAGGAAGTATATAAATAACTGTTGCAAGATCCTTCTGTGCCTTCTGTGGAATTCTTGTATAAGCTCACATTGTCCCAGCAAGTCAAGATATTTGCATTACATTAAAATGAAAATAATGCAATCTCCCTTGATTATATTATGTTGATGTTATAATTAATTTGTATTATTATATATAAAACGTTTCCAAAAATCAATCCAAAATCTCGGAAACCGTAACAGATAAGAAGTTGGTTAAATAGAAGCAAAATTGCGCATTTCGATGTTTAATTTAAAACCGTTTCAAAATCTAGAAATTTAACATTAATTCCGGAGATATCAGAAAAAACCGAAAATCAGCAATTTATATTGAATTTTTTCCTGGCCGTAATTAAAACATCTTTTGAAAACAAACGACACTTTCTCATGGTAAGTTTTTCTTCCTTACAAGTTGGAATTATCAAGTTTTAAGTATGACCATTTTGAGTGCCCATTATCAACATTTCGAAAAAATGTACACACAAAAAATAAGATGGCTATGAAACAAAAACATTTATGTCACACAGTCTTGACCTAGTTATTAATTATTAGTGCCAGTAACTTTTCCTGTTGCGTGTAATTATAGACTTTGCAGTAAAAAAAAGTGTGGAAATATTTGTTACGTATTAATTTCAATTCACTCAGAAATTCCAGAATTGCTAGTGAACGATGCCTAAGTTCTTATCTCCAGAGTGCAACGATATGCAAATTTGTTTGCCAAATTGGATTGAAATTTGTTGGAGTTCGAGAGTTTTAGAAAGCTGAGATGACTGTTGAATTGGCCCTATTATTAACCTTAGGTTAATAATACACCTCGAGTATAAATCAGACATTTTGAAAATGAACTACAAATTCCGAGAAGTCAGAAACTTAGACCTGGTGATAAAATTAGGCAGCAGGAATTCGGATTTTTCATTTAAAATAATTTGGACCGATGAATGTAGTTTTACAACTAACGGTCTATTTAATAGGCATAATGAATCCGCGGCAATATCAAAAAGTGAGAGCACAGGGTAGAGCGTCCTTTAATACAACCTCCGAAATATATCAACAATTCATATTAAATAATATTTTCCATCAGTACAGACAAGAGTTTCTCTCGGAATTAGACTGCCTAGAATGTGGGTTCTAGGCATTTGATGATATCCTCAGTTCATCCATTTGTTTTTATTGATCAAAATTCGTTGTTTTATAGCTGATTTATTTATTACTTATTAAATATGTTTTACTAAATTAGAAATTACAAAAATATTATTTGACTCAGGCGAAGTTAATAAGTATTACCGAACCGTTAAGTTTACTAAAGTTTTATCAACTAAGGTGACTTGGAAAAGTAACTTTTATCATGTTGACATTCTTTAAAAATTCAGATGTTTTTGTTATTTGCGTTATATATTTTAATGCCCGATTTGGTAGCGATCGTATGTTTTCAGTAGATTTTACCTACTTATGAGCTTTTAACGTTACGTAGGTAACTGTTATTGTTGTGAAGGGTTTTTGGTCCGGCCAACTGTATCCGCCGATCTGGTGCTAGCCTCCAGTTAACGGGTATCCAGAGGTCTATTACAGTGCACCTACAAGAAATGCTTTTTCCACGGCCGCTAAACTACTCAGACAAGATTTGTTTTTGCTAGTTCTACGTTTATTAAGTTTAAGCGAAGGTCGAACGCTGCGCTTCGCTCGTGCCAAATAAGCTAGTGACCACACTTGTTGCATAATATCACTGAACTAAAAATTTTACGCTCTTTCCAAAAATTGAAAAATTCAATATGGAACCCATAGAAAAATTAAAATTAAGGCGGCTTTCGAGATAACAAAAGACAATTGTCACATTTTGACAACTATCAATTTAACTCTTTTGGATTTACTGGCAAAAAACGAAACGCGCCATTTTCCTTTCATGTAGGTGTAAAAGTACCTTAGATCCCTTTATAGAAAAGCGAATCTGGGACATTTTATAGGTTACGCGATAACGTTTTATCTCAGAACTGTATAAAATATCGAAAAATTTTAATCACGAAAATTGTTTGGATGCACTTATACTATATTATATTGTTGTGTATAACGGGTGATTGTATTTTTGTGTACAAGTAATAACCTTTTTATTAGGATATTTTTGAATTCCTCGGAAAATTCTAGCTATATTTCGTACATAATATTCTATACCTAAGACTCGATGCACACGGTTGAGATTATTCGCGGTGAGTGCTTAACGTTTTCTTGGCGTTTTCGCCGCGAGCACGCTGCCCCACTATGCACACGGGCAAGCTTTCTAGTGGATGTATTAAGACGTGTTACAGTGGCGTACTTAACGTACCATAACTTGTGGAAGAACTCGAAAGGAAAATATTGAGTTCATCCACTAGTGAGTGCTAGGCTTCTAAAAGCGGCTTTTGTTACGTTGTTTAGTGATTTAAAAGAAGACCCATTAAAATTCTTTTAATTACTTTAGAATGAGTATTTGATCGTTCAACGAACTGGCAACCCAATAGAGCTGTTGGCTGGGAGCATAACGTAAGTAATCGCTCAGTTTCTCAATGATTTATTTTATCTAAACTTATACAAATAGTAATTTTGAAATTATCATAATGAATACGCAAAATATTTTAAAATGAACTAAGAGTCATCAGAAATAAACAATAAAAAAGCAAAAAGAACTTACTCGAATAATAGCAATTATACTAAAATTAAAGGTAAATATTGACTAATTGTATAGAATATATGAAACAAAGATGGAAGAGATGTATGATGAATGCCGAGAGTTACTGTTTATTGGAGACGATACCCAGCATATGACTAACTCATTTGACTTTCCTGATTATCTGGGGAAAAATTGGTGTAAGACTATGTCTGCTGTAAAGAAATGTGCGTGATTTGCTTTTGCTGTTTTGGAATTCCTGATATGGATAGTGGTTGCCTGATATTAGCTGAAGTATATGTAGATTAATTTGTTTTCTTGGGAGGGACTAAGGTGTTTTGTTGCTGTATAGGCATCAACACTATAGTAAAAGGTACATTTTGAGCACTACAAACTGATGCTCGCGAATCTCTTAGTTTGCTCATAACAGTGCATCTGAATTCCAGCTTATTGTCAATTGGTAAACTTTTAACGATTGCCAGTAACGACTCGAACTTTTGTCGTCATTTGTCGGTTACATTGGTGTCTCAGCAGATGTAGAATTCATATATTTTGATAAATTTTCTTTATCTATTAAGCGCCGTTTTGCTGCTGGAATCCTGGCAAAATCACTTGCGGCTTTCGTCACCTGGTCCGTCAGGCGTAGCAGAAATTGACAGACTGACGACTCGATAGTCTTAGAAGCGGCTCTGCGGTTGCTACAACGTTTCCTTCTTCCGCTGAAGTATAGCATCTCTGCTACTTGAATTCATCGCCGTCAAGAATGTATGTCACACAATTCACTGCCGAAGGGTGGCTATAAACCGCAGAAATGTTTTTTGAACGTTTAAACATCCCTAATTGCATGGTTGCCTTAGATGAAAAACATGTAAGGATTATCCAAACGGATTTTAGCGAGTCACAGTACTTCAACTACAAAGAATTTCATTCATTTTATTATTCGTGGTTGCCGATGCCAACTATGCTAACTATATGTTTAACTACATTTAACATGTGGAAGAGAAGCCGATAGTACAATGTTTGAAAGCTCTAAACTATACAACATGTTAGAAAATGGCCAGGCAAATCTGCCAAGGCCACAACCTCTTCCAGGAACAGTCACTATGATGCCTGATACATTTGTCAGATTTTGTAATGAGACCTCAAACGAGAAAATTTTTACGCTACAAGAAAAGAATCATTAACTAGCATTTATGTAGAGTTCGCATGTAACTGGAATGTTGTATTTAAAGGGAAATTTGTTCTTGTGAACCATGAGTTAATAATTTTTGTGAAAACATATTCTTAGCAGTACCTAGATGGTCGAAAAATTTAAGATAAGATACAAAAGATTCAAAAAAATTCACGACGTTTATTGAGATATCAATCTTGACAAAATAGTACATTTGGTTAGTTTGCCGATATTTTCATTGAAGCTGTAAAGAGGCATTATGAAATATGGAATACTTCATTGATCGAGTACCACGGCAAAATTCAAAACAGAAACCTGTGGAGGAAAGTATGTTCACTAAGGTCCAATGGATTTCAAGACAAATCGGAGAAAGAACAAAATGGTGTAGGTAAGTTTGGTAGTATTGTTATACATAACACTGTCGACAGATAAAAAATATTTAAAAAATGCATTAATCCCTTTTAATAGACCCGGGCCAAACCGAGTGCGAGAATGAAAGACATAATTTACGAATAATGTTTAGCAGTGTGTGGGTTACAAATAAATACAAAACGTTTTAATGTAACCTCCACATTTTGGAGGAAAATAGGAAGGAACAGATTTTTGGATTTTAATTTGTTCTCCCACAAAAATTATTGGGTGGACGTCATCCAGATAACGAACAGTCCCTTTTACCTTTTTTTTGCCAAAGAGGTATTTTAATCCTGCAGGCGCCAAGCTATTAGAGTAATAAAAAGCTCATTAGAAAAACAATGAATTCAGAGAGAGCGTTAAATCGAAAAACATTATTATTAGCAAATTATTAACTCATGCTCCATAAGGACAAATTTCACTTTAAATACAATGATATAACACGACCAGCGTAGCTTACTAAAACTCTGTCAATACATTTCTTCTTTGAGTAAGCATTCATCCACCTTGTCTAATGGTGTTTCTGTTACCAAAGTCACACAAAGCATTGATAACGAGCGTGTCTTTATACTTGTTACCATCTCTTGCTCTTACGTAATTATGAACAACGCATGCTTATCACTAAGTTAAGTTTGACATCCATAGGTCCATGAAATATGGAACATTCATGCAAGCTCTACATAAACGGTAGTTAAATATTCTTTTGTTGTTGCGATTTTCTAACATTCTGTGCAGCTTATAGTTTTCAAAAATTGTACTATCGGCTTTCCTTTCGCATGAACCCACTTCAATGTAGTTAAATATATAGTTGGAATCGGCAACTACGAAGAGAAGAGCAGAATAAATTTTTTTGTAGCTGACGTACCGTGACCCGCTAAAATCCGGTTCGATAACGCTTACATGTTTTCCATCTAAGGCTCCAAACAATTAAGAACGTTTGAACATTTAAAACCCATTTCAGCCTTTTCTAGCCACCCTTCAGCAGTGAATTGTGGCATACATTCTTGACGGAGATTAATCCAAATAGCAGAGCAGACTCTTCTAATCATTTTCGCTACTGTTGGATGTCCGAGTAAAAAGTGTTTTGATTATTAATTTTTTTTTTCAGGTACAAAACTTATGAGAAAATGTAAAAGAAGCCAAATCTGGACAAAGCGCCAATCACAGAACCGATATCTACGCAAGACGGATGGAATTTTTGTTGCATTGTGGTTCATCTGCAACAACAAGTGTTGATGAAAATACGGAAACACAAAATGACAAAGAATGCTGATACTTCAGCGGAAGAGGGAAAAATATAGCACCAGCTTGTAGAGCCGCTTGTAAGACCATCGAGGCGTCAGAGTCCGTCACTTTCAGCTACACCTGACCAGAAAAACGAAAGCTGCTACCTAACTAACCAAAACACATGAATCTACACATACTCCTGCTAGCATCAGTCAACCACTATCCATGTCAATTTCAAATCAGCAAACGTAAACCACGCACAGTTCTCTACAGCAGATATTTTTTTACACCAATTTCTCCCCAGTCGATCAGGAAAGTGAAGAGAGTCAATCATATGCGTGGATGTCGTCCACATCAAACAGTAACTCTTAGCATTCTAGCATGCAAGAGTTCTCCCACCAATATAATGGAATAGAAATTAAGAATTGCGCGGGTGTTCTTTCTGATGATGTACACTCTTAGTTCATTTTAAAGTATTTTGCATATTCAATACAATAAATTTGAAATTTGTATTTGTAGGAGCAGATGAAATGAACTATTGAGAAACTAACGCATTACTTACCTTATTCTCACAGCCAACATCTCTATTGGGTTAACCGGAAGTCGTATACCTGTATTTTCACTTTTTATAGTATCTTCCAATTTATTTGCCAGTTTGTTGAATATTAATTCTAAAGTAATTAAAGAATTTGAATGGATCTTCTTTTAAATCATGAAACAATGTAACAACAGGCCCTTTTAAACGCCTAGGGGATGAACACAATATTTTCCTTTCGAGTTCTTGCACAAGCTATGCTACGTTAAATATGCCACTGTAACACATCTTGATACATCTATGCTTGAAGTAGATAATCTACTGAAGATTCATAATTGCAATCTCTCCGAGAAAAGCTCGCCCGCGTGCATGGTGGGCCAGCGTGCTAGCGGCGAGAACGCTAGCTGAAATATTTTGAATTAATTGTCAAAAGTTACATTTGCAGTCCTAAATAATATGTCTATCGATTTCTCCGACTAAAAGTCTGGAGCGTGTTCGTCGATTTTTTGTCAAAATAATCAAATTCAATTTCGAATAACTCAACGTTTTTAATTCTCGTAAATTTTCAAATTACAATTTAATGTTCTCGCGTTGGCTTCTGCAAGTCGAATCCCGGTCAAATTTGGATCGAAGAGGCCTTGCGCGACGAAGGGGAAAGCGGCCGGAACTGGTCAAGGCCGGACTCCACTTATTTGATGCCCAAACAAAATCTTTGTTACATATTTGAGGTTGACTTCTGTCTTCTGTTTTGATATATTAAAAATACATAAATAAAGAGTAATAAAAGAGTAAAATTAAAAATGTAAATGAAAAAATCGTTAAAATTCGTTTTTTTTTAATGGAAACATCCCATTTTTATAATTTTATAGAATTTAGAATTATAAAGAATGGCGATTTTCTTGTTACATTTTATTTTTGAATGTTGGAAATAATAAACTATCTTTTTAAGTTAGTTTTATACTAATGTCAAAATTTGTTAATATCATATAGCTATTAGATGAAAAAGTAGCCCTACTACAGTAAAAATTTATGCTCCGCAGTCGGCATTAATATTTGCGCCATTTTCTTTCTAAACAGCGATTTTTAAAAACTCGTTCTCCCAGAGCATTTAACGAGAATATTTTGAGAAAATACTGCCGCAAAAATGCCGCATCCAAACTTATTGACGATCTGTCAACGCCATGTTGGTAGTTGAATGGCGCAAGGTCATTGGTTTACAAGGAGATTTTAAATATCGCGCATGCGGTTTCCTGACTATTAAATCCCTGGTAAACCAGAAGATAATGCCAATGAGTAATTATGAAAAGTTGAGTTATAAAAGTGACATCGGCTTTGCACTAGGTCCAACCATTTAAATTCTACATCCACTAATTTAAAAAAAATACTAATACCCATTTTCAATTATTACCTCAAAACGGTTTTAGATATAAATTTGTGTGACGTACTGACGTACTAACTAAAACGGTTTTAGATATAAATTTGTGTGACGTACTGAATATATTTGGAATAATTCAGAATGCGATAATATACCTAATAGTTTGCCTATTTAAAATTTCAATTACTCTACAGCTTTTTGATAAAACTGGCAACATTGCTTCATTGAAAATATTTAGATCGATTGAACAAGTCGAAAAACCTAAGCAGAAGAATGTCCTGTTTTCCATGCATGTCTATCAAATTATTCACAGTGAAACACCTTGTATATTAGATACCTCTTACCTGAATGCATTAAATATATTATATCTGTGCACGTTATACAAAGATTTTATGTTCTGTAAGTTACCTAATATTTTCCGCATTACAGACTTTTTGCCCCAACTTGCATCGTAGGGGTTTTCAATCTACTAGAGGCTGCACTGAAAAAGTTAGAGGTATTTGAGATATGTTACTGTAAATGGATACTTAGCATGAGCTCGGTTGACAGAATCACAAATGAAGAAGTTCTTAATAAAAATGAATAAAACAAACCCAGTTGTTGGCATAATTAAGTCGAGAAAGTTAGTACAGCCATAACGGAAAAAAACGTGGAACGTACAATGGGACCTGCAAACGTGGTACACTGGTTGGTTGGGCTAAATTTAACATGCACATAAAACACCTTTTAATAATTTTTATTTAATTAATTTTTTCTGAATTGCTAATAATTTTGATTTCACATGAGTATACCTAAGAAAATAGAAAAAGAGAATACTTACAAGAAGCCAGAATGCGGGGGGTGGGGGCGCACAATCACACTAAGATACACACCTAATTTCACACAACTGTGTGATTTCACAGATTTCACGCCAAATTTCACGGATTTCATCGGATTCAAATTTCACAGAATACCTAAATAATTTTTTAGATTTGAAAAATATTTTTTAGCTCATGTGGAAATTTTTTGTATTCATCATAATTGAAAAAAAAGTGAACATTATATATAAAAATACATTAAAAAGCACTTTTTTAAAAGTGGGAAAGGATATTGTCAGTGTCAGTGTTAAATTAATGAATATAGGTTTTATAAATCCCATACATTTTCAAAAAGTACATAAAAATAATATTTTTAAAATTAATGTTTAACACTTTTATTTAAAACTTTCGGTAATTCATTATTTTCTGACGATACAAATATTACAATTAAAGCCAAATAGAAAAGTAGACAAAATATATTTTTGGAACTTTATGTTTATGGTTTATATTTTTTATTTATTTAAATGTTTATTTTGGTACAATATAATGTCCAAACATTACACTTATAAATTATTCTAATACTAGTCCTAGATAACAGAAAGAGCATGATATCTCGGAATAATTTTCCATTCATGAATCGCTAGCTGAGTTAATACTTCAAAAAAATAATAAAACATATCAAGAATAAAATTTGTTTAATTTTATATTACTTAGGCTCAGGTAGTCCTTTTGAAGTTACCAACTGCACCTTGGACACAATCTACAAGTAAAGTAAAGATAGTGAGTCACTTATTGGATTTTTTGTAGATTAATTTGTTTATTATTTAAAGATAATTTAACTAATGGAAAATGCTTAAAACTCAAAATTTTAGATAATTATATGTATAATCTCACAAAGATTTCGCCGATTTCACAAATAACAAAGATTTCACAGAGCTGGTACACCAACCCTAGGGAGCAGTCTATATTTTGTTTTTGGGGTTAGGTGAGAAAACCGCTATTGGTTTTTTGTTATCAGCGAACTAAACCCCCTGTTAAATCATTATATTTATAATAAAAGTCTTTTGTTATTGTTGATATTATAAAATAAGTGTGAAATTATACTTATCATTTTCACTTTATTAACATATTTTATAGTCTGAAAAAAAAACTACTAATTTTAGTTAATAATTTTACTTTAATTCTTAACAACTCATTAATACCTACTTAAAATAAAAAGTTAATTTTTAAAAACAAATAAGTTTGATTCAACTTCTGGTCTTTCACAATAAGAATTGACTAGACTTACATTCTGATCTTGCTATAGCTTAAATCTAAAAACTTGGCTCAAATGGTATAAACCTAACAACAAGTAAGGCTCTTGGGGAGCAGTAGTCGTGTGGTTCCAAAATTCGCTCTCAACTTCATTCACAACTTGTAATATCAATGAGGAATTTTGCTGCTGACATTTGTATAGTGTGTTTAACCCATAAACCTCGGGAATGACTTTTACCTCCGGCGGTACTGGCACATTTGCTGGAGAGTAACTAGGTGGTTCATATGGAGGTGAAGTATCTGCAGGTTTCACACCCAATTTTAATTCTGGAAAGTATTCTATTTTCCACCAAATGCAATAAACAGTTAATATAATGCACCTAAGCTTCTTAATATTGTATCTTGATCTGCTATTTTTCTAATTAGTTCCCTAATCTGTGCTCTTTCCTCTTCTGCCTGGATATAAAGATCCCTAATGTCATTCTGAATCGAAATGATCTCCTGCTTTCTAGCTTCTTCTTTAGCACTTTCTTTTTTAGCAGACCTAGAACAAATTATATCACATAATTGTGGGTTAAAGCTAAAATTAAGTTACTAATCGTTCAATAATCAACCTTACACAATCCAAACTTATAGTTTAGAGGGGTGTTATAAAGTTTGCATGCTTCACCTATCTTTGAATGCCATCTTTGTGCTGCTTACCTACCTGGCATATTCGTTAATTAAAATCCCAGCAGCAATAACAAATATTATAGCTTCTCCCAACAAGTTTGCTCCTAATTCAATTGCCTGAGCTTCATTGAGGACTGGAATATTGACGGGCTTACCAAGGTTCAATATCCACATCTTCGCTTTCACTTCACACCAGTTGTAAACTAAAACGAAAAGATAAACATCTAATAAAATGAACTTGAGCGAAATTGTTTACATTGGGCTGGAGGCATACACACATATTTTCTAAAAACTGGGGAGCTCTTCGCTTGATTTTTGACAACATTGGCTATCGGTTTGCTGATTTGCTTTAACAAGAGTGCACCAAGTTTGGCCGCAGGAAAAGCCCCAATGACCATTTCTTAAATTTATTTTTATTTTTAAATCTACTTTAACCATGAAAATTAACATAACCTATTAATGACTTCTTCTTTTTTAGGTAGATTATTTGTTTCCATTCGATGATCCTAGCAGTCGTAGCCAAAGTTCACACGCAGCTCAGTTTGAAATTATTGCTGGTTTTTAGATCCAGAGAATTAGCCAACAGTCTATTTATATTCAGAGCCTCCTTCATGTACAAAGGCGCCTTATCGAATGTTGATAAAAAAAAATCTGTTATTACTGGATTTTTCGTAATAATAATAGCTATTTATTTCCAACATGCCACAGACCGCTTACAGGAAATTCAAACATATTAAGCAAGTAATATGGCTGTTCCCCTATCACTACACTGTTCAAGTTGTTAAAAAAAATTATTTGAAAAATAACAAGTAATCAAAGTAACTTCAGAATCCGTTCCAGTGCAAGGGTGTTAAACCGAATGGGATAGGTGGTAGGGAATTTATTTCAGTGGCGAAGCAAGTGTTATTCCTTATAGGAGGGCTAAATAAGCCTTTTAGGCTAATATTTTGGCACCAATATTCTAAATTTCGCTTGAAAGGTAAATGTTTATTTTGATTATGGACGCTGTTACATCACAAATCTTCGTTTTTTTTATAAGTTAGTTGTAATTTTAGTGCTTCTTTAAAAGGTAATTTACAGAAGGGAGTAGAAAAATGTATTTGTGTACTGGGGGAGGATTTTCTCGAATCTCGAACAGGTCATGTCGCATGCGAGATGCCCTGTTCCAGATTCGACATATCACCCCCTGTTCCTCCGTTTTCGCCAGTTACGCCGGTTTTTTGGAGTTGTTCAAAGTTCAAGTTTGAAACTAGGTCATGTTTGTGTTATCAAGATACCAGTACGTGTTTCGGTAATTGGCCGAAATCGTTTACTCCAAACGTAAAGAAGAAAAAATATTCTATGGTTTTGTTTTGTATATTCGATATCTTGTGACGTATGGAAACCGACAAGTTTTTCAAATCTTCCAGAGGCTTTAAAAACGTAAAACACTTGTGTAAAGTCTGCTTGGGGTCACACCAAAAAGTGTTACTGAATTTAAAAGAGGAACTATATATTGAAGGGCCTTACATATGGGAGGCCATTGAATACGTTACATCGAGCAAGGTTTGTTTTTCTAGGTATAGATGTTTGAATTTATTGTAAAAATTTCAAGGTTGACATAACCAGATTTCCAGCAGCGGTCTGCGAATTTTGCGTCAAGTCTTTAAGAACAGCCTACACTTTTAAAAAACGGTACTACAGCTCTTGTGAAATTTTGGATAATTTACAGGTTTCTGATACAAGTATTGGAGAAAAAATTGAGTTTCAAGTGCAGCCATTCATTATTGAAGACAATTTGGAAGAGTTTATTGTGAAAAAAAATAAAGTGGGTGATAATTTGAAAGATATGGGAGAGGATATTCATGAAGAATCTGTGATAGATGATGTTGAAACCATCAAAATAGAAATTGATCCACTCTTTGAGGAAAATAAAAAAGAAGAAATACAGTACAAGTGCAATGGGTGTAATAAAATTTATTATCCTAAAAAACAGTTTTACATTCATAGCTTAAAATGTCCAAATCCATTGAAACAGGAACACATATTTGCAACAGTCATCAATAAGTTAGTGGCACAGTGCCCAATTTGCTTCAAACTTTTAAAATCACAGAAGCAGGTCAATCATCACATTCAAAATATGCATAACAGGGGTTCAAAACAGTTTGTATGCAAAATCTGTGGTCTTATTTATAATGTGAAATCAGCTCTTGCTTATCACACCATGACAAAGCATGAAGAAAAGACATTTACATGCAAACTGTGTTCAAAATCTTTTTACAGGGAAGCATTCTTAAAAACACATATGGACCATCACACCAAAGATATTGCTAAAACTGTATGTACCATATGTGGTAAGAAATTTCACTACAAGAACAGTATGTTCTACCACATGAAGATGCACAATAGGATTTTAAATTACAATTGCAAGTACTGCAACAAAAGTTACTACAGTGCAAGTTGTTTGAAGAGACATGAAGTGACTCATACAAGAGTTCGTTCATACAAGTGCTCGGAGTGTGAAAAAATGTTTTTCTCCTCATCTGAGCTAAAAAAACATAGCTTTGTCCACACTAATGATAAACCGTTCAAATGCAACTTTTGTAGAAAAGGTTTTGCTTCCAGTTATAACTTTAAAATGCATTTGTTAACATATTCTGGGGATTCTCCTTGTGAATTGTGCCATAAGACATTTATTAATAAAGAAATTTTAGGATTTCATTTAAAAAAGAAGCATAAAGTGGTGTTTTAGGTTTACAAACTAGTTAATTTATCAGAATTAAGTTTGTCAGAAAGGGCCAATTTTCTATTGCATTAATTAGTGAAAGAATTTAATTCACAAAATTTTTCTGAAGTCTTAACTAACATCCTGGAAGGAAAAATACTTTGAGCATAATTATTCTTATAGGGTGATTCATAGTGGATGGCAGGTTAGACAATGAAAAATAACTAAATAATAAATATAATAAATAAATCAAAAGGATACAGCAGTAGCAGCATCTTTAATGTGTCAAATGGGATGCCCTCTATATTATTGCATTTTTCACTGTAATCACATTTTTTATTAATGTTTTGTATTATTTTTTTTGTATATCCTTATATTTGTCTATAGAGAGTTTGGAAATATCAATAGTTTTCCTTATTTTTTTGTTCAAAATGTAACTCCAACAAAATATATATTACTGTTGTTTGAATTCGTAGAAAACTGAAATTTTGGGTTTAGTTTACCAAGTAGGAAGATTGAGAGGTTTTTCTTGTATACAAATCATTTTCTTAAACTGTATTTTATCGACTACGAGACTATTCTGGGATTCTGAAATAAAAGTAAGTTGATAACTGTGGTATATTTCATTTTGAATCGACTAGTTATTAATAAAACAAAAAAAAAGATATAGGCATCCCAGTCAAAAACTTCAAACAATTTTTAAAACTTACGCTAAATATTTACAACACTAATTTTAGGAATACCACTATGCTAATTAAATGTGGACATTCCGCCGATTGCTGCACATACCCTGGATGGATCATGCAACATACGATGAAGTTCTAAGACCTAGAATAGACAGGCAATTAATGGATACCGTAAAATAACGCAAAGTATGATATCCAGGACAGGACAGGACAGACTGCACTGACCGGAGCGAAAACAACATTCTTGGTTTCGCAACATATAAAACTGTAGTGGTAGTGACTCCGCAACCATATTTCGACGAGCCTAGTCATCTTATAGCCAAAAAAAAAGACGAGTGATCGCCAAAGTGCGACGTAACACTGGGAAGAAGAAGAATCTGGTAATTCAAGATGCAAGCAGAAATTCTGTGGTGCGCATTTCACATGGCGGGTTCACCTCCGCTCGCTCCCGTCAAAATCCTCTGTAATCGTCCCCAAAAAACTTGAAATTCATTCCATTGTGTGGATTTAGTGTTCTAGGTGTTTCGTGAATGTTATAAAGTGTGTAATCGTTGTTGGCTCCCCTGTTTTTTGTCTTCCACACCGGTTGGAGGCCATATAGTTGTAAGTGGTCGAATGATCTTAGCAGCCTTGACCAATACAAGAAAAGAAGGTGCAAGCAACAACGTTTCTACTCTTTCTCTTTCTCTTTCTCTCTCTCTTTGTAGTACATTTCTTGTGAAACTGTCAGCAAACAGCCTCCTCCGCTCTCCGATCTCCGGTCTATGGCTTCGCTACTAGACAGTTTGCCAACGCATTCGGGGGGGTTGTCACATTGTGGAGCGAAGCCATCTGTCCAGACATTTTTGTTTAGTGAATCATTTTTTACTGGGAAATTCGGTTTGTACGTTAGTAAATATTTTGACTTATATTTTAGTATGTTTTCCCCAGTCCGTCATGTTCTTTAAAGATTGTTTATTTCAGACTGTTAAGAATTTCGCGCTTATCCAGAGTTTCTGGGACATTTAGGTTTGTACCTATTTTTGTTGGGGAGTCAACTATCGAATTCGAGTGGCCTGGGATCCAGGCTAGAATGACATTATTACCATTATTCTCAGTAATATCGTAACTCCTTGATTTATAGCTATTAATTCTGCTGAAGTTATATTTAGTTTATTTTGGAGCTTTGCAGAGAATTGATAGTCTATATCCTGAATAAATATGCCCAATGGTTGGGGTTGATTTCATACATCCTAAATAGATTAACTTTCATATAGTATTTTATTAAGTTTATTAATGTTTTTTAGACTCTATTAAGGATGTTTATAGTATTTTTAGACTTTATAATCTGTTGATCAATGTGCCTATCCCATTTCATTTGTCCAAAGGTATATTACATCGTTTTTAAATTGTATGACGTGAGTTCCTATCTTCACAGAGGGAGGCGAGTCTCTAAGGGCATCTTTTATCAACCATACGCTTTCGCATTTCTGCGGGGAAAGTTGGAGATCATCATTTAATAACCAGTTGATTGTATTGAGAGATTGGTTAATTTTAGCAGTTATTAATAGTTTATTAATAGTGTTATTTCATGTGTATATCCCAGCAAAGTGAGATCACTTTGCTGCATATTAAAAAGTTTCATTTTATAAATATAGAGAATAGTTCTTAAGTTCTTAGTTCTGAACCATGTAGTAGGACCAAACTATTGTGGGTTGGTCCTATGTAGGAGACGACGTCATTTTTTTGTGTAAAATCATCTATTTCCTAAGATTTTGAATACTGAATTACTAAGGTTCTGAGGTATATAAAGTGGATTTAGTTTATTGTATAGTTTATATATATTAACACAGTCATAAGCTAACTTTACATCCAGAAATACCGCCAAGACTCTTTCTTTCTGTTTAAAGGCTAAGTCAAAAAATGTGATATAAACGCAATGTTGTTATTGATTCCCATCCCTTTTCTATAGCTTGTCTAAGACCTTTTAAACTTCCGTGTATTTTCTAATATCCAATCTATTCTTTATCATAAGTTCTAACAATTTTACATACAGCAAGAAAGCACATTGGTCCTATAGCTCTCTACGTTGTATGTGTCTTTATCTGTTTTTTTAGAATCTTTGAAACATATTTTTTTCCATAAGTGTGGAAGTGTGTTGGGTATCCATTATTGACAAACATGTTGAAATTTTTTTTCGGGGTATCTTGAACAAAACTTTCATAGCTCAAATGTGTAACTACATATACTTAAGAGATTAATCTGCAACTTCAACCCGGTCCAACAGAGGAACCAGGCGCTCGGATGTGTTACAGAAACAATTACATTAAAAACCTCACAGAATCTATTATAAGTATTTTCAAAGAATTCAAGGAAATAAAAAATGCCAAATAAAATACTGAAAAAGTTTCAAAACTTTTTTCTATATATCAATTCAAAGCGAATAAATCTTTCGCCTTTTACTAAAGATTTCCGTGGCGGGGGCGACATAAATGAGTCTATAACCAATTATCGTTTTCGGGTTTTCAATGCTGTTATGTTGGACAGACCTCACAGTGGTTGAAACAACGTTTGACATAAAAGAAAAGTGATACCCGTATTCATAAGAATACTTGTGCTGTCGTTGAACATTACATAAAAACAGGACACGAATTTGACTACAACAATCCTAAAATATTACAATATGTCAAAATTATAAAGACCGACTGTTTCTTGAAATGTGCCATATTAACAAAAACAAAAATTCAATTAACTAAAAGTCTGATACACAGCAAATAAGCAATATATACTTTAACATTCTTCAGTTGAACAGATAATATAATATTCGGCCCCCGTGTAGTGCATTCGCGTTGCTTCGTTGATCCATGATTTCTGTCACCATTTATATCGTTTTTTGATTGTTTTTTGCTACCCCTGTTAGCGCAACTTTTATTATAAAATTTGTTCGTAATGTCGCCTCGTTCGTTCATGTCACCTTAACTGTAGAGTATTGCTTTGATAAACTATCTGGTAAACTCTAATTTTGTAATTATTTCTCACGATGGTCTGTTGTATAGTTTGAACTGTTATTTTCATTGATTTTTAGTTCACTCCTGAAAAAGTCAACAAATAAATTGACGAAATAATGAGAGTTAAAGAAGGAAGGAGCTTTTCATTTTCTTTGTTTTTTAACCACTATCCGATATTCCTTGATTCCAAATAAGTTTAGTACGGTCAAGATAAGAAGAAATTTCATTTCAACTGTTTATATCTATATCTATATATATATATATATATATATATATATATATATATATATATATATATATATATATATATATATATATATATATATATATACAGTGTGTCCAAGATAAGGATGCACAGCATGGGGATCTCGGAAACTATAAGAGATACAGTGTCGGTTAAATTAGACAAAAGTTGCGCATTTTGATACCGAACAAGATCCCGTTTTACAAATTTGAAAATTCCAAGCCGTTCCGGAAATATCCGAGAAAAACCGAAATATTGAGATTTCGTTTTTATTATTTTTTAAAGCTATTTGAAAAGATATGAAAAAACGGAAAACACTTTTCCATTGGCACTTTTTAATCTCTCCAAATTGACGTTAACAAATTTTCATTACAGCGTTTCGATTCCATGGAAACACCATCAACTTTGATTTTTCTTATGGGACGGAAAAAAAGTACACACAGTATTAGGTTGTGCTTTTCATTGCGAGTTCAACGATGTACGATACAATACGGTTACTTATGTTTTTATCCAGAAAAATGGCTTTTTAATACATTTCTAGTATTTTATTGTAGTAGGCCATGAGATCCGAACGATGAAAGGCAAAAGAAAATGGTTGACAAGTTCGAGTTAATGTGTTTATTTATTTACTAACTCTAACTGTTCATTTAACATAACAACTAAATCCAACAAGTTAATGAAAAACAAATTCTATAACAAATGTTCGAATAAATGACCTCCATTTTCTAGGCATAAGTACGCCCGTCTCACGGTAGACTCCAAAACACGACTTAACATTTCAGGAGTAATTTTATTAAACGCTGCTCGTACTGATTGACGTAATTGTTCCTCGTTGTCAAAACATTCTTTGAATACCTCATTTTTTATGTAGCCCCATAAGAAAAAGTTCAAGGGAGTTAAGTCCGGGGACCTTGGAGGCCAAGGTGTTTCACTGTAAGTCCCAATGTATTTTCCATCAAACCGTTCAGTTAAATATTGGCGAACTTCTCTGGAGTTATGGGCTGGGGCACCATCTTGTTGGAACCAGCAGCCTTGCACAGCGCCTAGCGGTAAATCATCTAAGGCATCTTCTAAATCGTGCCGCTCCGAGGTACCGCTCGGAAGTTAAGGAATTATTATAGAAAATAGGGCCTATAATCTTGCTACCAAAAATCCCACACCAAATATTAAACCCAAAGCGAACTTGATGTCTGGATAGTCTATTAACACGTGGATTTTGTTGCGACCAATAGTGTGTATTGCGCCTGTTATAAATACCGTTATTGGTCACCATACTTTCATCAGACCAAATCACTTTATATGGAAAATTAAAACTCTCATCACACATCCTGGTATACCACTCACAAAAATGTCTACGTCGTTCGTCGTCACCCGGTTTTAATCCTTGACATATTCTGAATTTGTAAGGCTTAAATTCATTTTTCCTTAAAATAAACTGAGCTGTAGATTTAGCTACCCCATTCTGGTCTTCAATTTCTCTGGTAGAAGTTTGTGGATTTTCGATAACAGATTGTAGAACAATGTATTGGTTTTCTTCATTGGAAGGTTTTTGTCGGGATAATGCAGGCTTCTTAAATGATCCATATTCTTTCAGATTAAATAACAAACGCCGAAAAATACTCTTGTCAGGTTGTCTCCGCTCTGGGTATTTGTTAGAATACATACGCTCGGCTTCCACACAATTTCTTTGGCATCAGATGTAGCAAGACAGCATATCACATTTTTCTTCGTTTGTAAAATTACCTCCCTCCATTGTAGAACAAAATAAATTAGAAAAAGACAACAACAATAAAAATACAAAAACAATAACTAAAGGAATAAACTTATGGTCGACTGATAACAAAGACAAATAACATTAATGTGTCATTGAAATTGACTGGATGTCATTTTGTCATGGCCTACTCCATTTAAATGCTGAAATGTATTAAAAATCCATTTTTCTGGATAAAAACATAAGTAACCGTATTGTATCGTACATCGTTGAATTCGCAATGAAAAGCACAACCTAATACTGTGTGTACTTTTTTTCCGTCCCATAAGAAAAATCAAAGTTGATGGTGTTTCCATGGAATCGAAACGCTGTAATGAAAATTTGTTAACGTCAATTTGGAGAGATTAAAAAGTGCCAATGGAAAAGTGTTTTCCGTTTTTTCATATCTTTTCAAATAGCTTTAAAAAATAATAAAAACGAAATCGCAATATTTCGGTTTTTCTCGGATATTTCCGGAACGGCTTGGAATTTTCAAATTTGTAAAACGGGATCTTGTTCGGTATCAAAATGCGCAACTTTTGTCTAATTTAACCGACACTGTATCTCTTATAGTTTCCGAGATCCCCATGCTGTGCATCCTTATCTTGGACACACTATATATATATATATATATATATATATATATATATATATATATATATATATATATATATATATATATATATATATATATATATATATATATATATATATATATATATATATATATATATATATATATATATATATATATATATATATACAGGGTTTTTCACTTAAAACTCCGCACGCCAATAAGTCCAAAACGAAAAGAAATATTTAATTTATGTAAAAAGTAGTCAAAGTGTGGGGTCAAGTAGATATTTCCTAAAGTTTAAAAAATTCGACGCCTGCAAAGAGCTGGGCGTCGCGACGCGTCGAAAAATTATTCGATTGCAGAGACTTTGGAAATACGCGCATACAAAAGTACATATTATTTAAAAACTTTTTTGTTATTTACTCAAACTTATTTACTTTACCCGTTTCTAAGTTATACCGATTTAAAGTAAACATTTCTTGATTAATAAAAAATGTGATTAACGCTTATTTTTACAAGTATGCCATGAATGTTAGTTATTATGGCAACCATGCCCAAATAGTAACGAGCTATTTGAACCGAGAATATCCCAATAGATGGTTTGGTACTAATGGACCGGTAAGGTGGCCGGCGAGGTCCCCGGACATTACACAACCAGATTATTTTCTTTGGGGCTTCCTAAAAAACGTTATCTATGAAGAACCTATCGAAGATATGGCTGATCTCATTAACAAAATTAGTGCAGCGTGTGCCGCTATCACAAGAAGGACTCTCCTACAAGTGACCCAAGCTCATCTGTTAAAAGTTTTTGATAGTTGTGTTCGAGCAGATGGACATAATTTTGAACAAAATTTTTGAAACGTCTTATTATGTAGTTAATTGCAATAATAATTTTGGTTATTAACTTGTAGGTATTTTACTGTTTTTTCATTTATTTATCATGTTATCAGAACTAAATCGATAAAAAATAATAAATAAAATCATACTAAAATAGTTGAAATCTATTCTTTGTAATTGCACTTAAAACAACTGCGATAACAATGGTTGCCATAGTAACTAACATTCATGGCATACTTGTAAAAATAAGCGTTAATCACATTTTTTATCAATCAAGAAATGTTTACTTTAAATCGGTATCGGTAACTTAAAAACGGGCAAAGTAAATGAGTTTGAGTAAATAACAAAAAAGTTTTTAAATAATATGTACTTTTGTATGCGCGTATTTCCAAAGTCTCTGCAATCGAATAATTTTTCGACGCGTCGCGACGCCCAGCTCTTTGCAGGCGTCGAATTTTTTAAACTTTAGGAAATATCTACTTGACCCCACACTTTGACTACTTTTTACATAAATTAAATATTTCTTTTCGTTTTGGACTTATTGGCGTGCGGAGTTTTAAGTGAAAAACCCTGTATATATATATATATATATATATATATATATATATATATATATATATATATATATATATATATATATATATATATATATATATATATATATATATATATATATATATATATATATATATATATATATATGATGACACTATATTCCGTGACATCATCCGTTCGCTTATTGAACTCCGACTGGAATCCTGCAGACGTTTCGCCAAAATCTCACTTGGCATCTTCGAACACTCCAGTCGGATGCAGGATTCCAATCGGAGTTCAACAAGCGAACGGATGATATCCCGGAATATAGTGTCATCACATTTTTCCATCCGTGAATCAATACGTGAAAATATATATATATATATATATATATATATATATATATATATATATATATATATATATATATATATATATATATATATATATATATATATATATATATATATATATATGATGACACTATACTCCGGGATATCATCCGTTCGCTCGTTGAACTCCGACTGGAATCCTGCATCCGGCTGGAATCCTGCAAATCCTGCATCCGACTGGAATCCTGCAGACG